CACTTGATTCCATTGATTTATTTAGGCATTCAGGGTATAGTTGATTCTGCATTTTGATTTTGTTTCTTTTGAGGGCTTTATTTGTGTACTATAAAAGAAGGAAGAAACTGGTTGTTTTGCTCTAATGCATATATGTGTAGACACTACTTCAGTTATGTCATTTGTGGTAATGTTTCTATGCTAAGAGCCATTGCCTTATTTGGGGACTAATTACTTCATCATAGGATGCTAGAAGGTAAGCATAGGATAGACTAATGCTGTCTCGTCACTCGGTGAATGATCGAACGACATCAACCCCCGCAATACGCCCACCCTTACTCTGTCAGCATGATAGTCGAATTAATGTTCACAAAACCTGTCCTCATTTGATCCGAAAGCTAGAGAGTAGTAGCTGGCTAAGAGCAAAAAGTTTACGTTACAGCACAATCTTAAGGAAAGGTACATTCCCATTCAGTACAGATGAAACTTTTCAGGCTCCTTTGTGAAAGGCCAACAAAATCCAGAACAAGGTAGGTTCTGTACCATGTCCCTTTGTGAACCTTTACAGCTTTCTTATTTGATCTTTTTGTCATCCAATGATCAAATCTCTCTTTCACTTTCCAGCTCTCCACTGTGCAAACAAGCTGTACCAGTATCATAGGGATGGCCACTCACATACATAATCTTTTTCTTTATGTTATAAATAGGTGTCCACTCTTTTTTATGCAGAGAAAAATGTTGTCATTGGTTTGTACTATACAGCAGCTACCCATCTTGATTCTTGCCAAATTGATTAATACTAAATACACCATCATGGCAACGTAGTGGGGGATCTCTCTAGGAAATCATATATACTTTTCCTATTCTTGTCTACAGCATATTCGAGGTAGCCCAGTTACCTGTATTCTGGGTAGGAGGAAAACATGACAGAAAATAATATCGAGCTGGTTTAGACAGATAATATCAGGTGAGGCCTTCCCTCTATCGGTTTCTGCGGTTTGAGACGATGGAAATCCTCTGATCCTGAAGCATGTTCATGTTAGGAGCCAGCAACCGTGTGTACCGGTCAAAATACAGAAGTTGTTTCAGGAGAAGTGCAAACTCCCTAGGGAATCTGAGCCCATATGATTCGCTTACTCGAACCTGTTCACCGTAACAAAAACCCACAGAAGGAAGATACATCATCAGAAGTTCCAGTTCATAAGGACAGTTTAAGTTCCATATCTTGAATATCCATTCTACTTACCACATCAAGAAAAAGTGCATTCATCTGCCTTTCATCAAGGACTACATTGGCAGAAACAGCAGTTGCGTTTGTACTAGGATCCCTTGCTGTTGCCACTACTAGTTCTGTGTCCAATTCCTGCGTCATGAGAGCAAAATCCCACGAAATTCCTGAACTCTAGGCCATTATATTCAGCTAAAGAAAGAGGAGCAATGCTTACCTGTATAGATGAGAATATCTTTTCCAAGTCTCTTGCAAAGGACTTGGTATCAACATCTTTGTTTGTAGCACCCATTTCAATAAGTGCAGATGCCATGGAGTCATATTCTTCGGTTGCAATTGATGCCAGAAACACTTCCATAGCTTCCCATGTCTTTGGGGATATGCGTCCAACGATTCCTGAAGAACAGAAATCACTTTATTCTATCAAAAGGGACCTCGAAACACAATAGTCCAATCAGCTACCTAGTAGTCAGCTTGGCCAAGAAAAAGAACGACCACGGTAAACTCATAGCTACTGGTAAGAATAGAAAATAGTGATCTTGCGCAAACTCTGAAGTACAACTTACCAAAATCAAGAAACCCGATCCGACCATCACGCAACAACCACAAGTTTCCTGCATGTACATCGGCATGGAAACTTTCACATGCAAGAAGACTTCCGAACCTACAATCAAAATTTGATTACAATCGATTAGGTTTGTTAAACTTGGTAGATACATGCAAAGTGAACCTTAAGCATTGGCTGTAATGGAAAACCTACCACACATTAAGGGCAGTAATGAGGCTTGCTTCTGGATCGGACACAAATGAGCTTATGGAGTTGAGATCAGTGAGTGGGACTCCATATAGTCTCTCCATTGTCAGAACCCTACGGCTGCTGCAGTGGTGATATACCTTTGGAGCTGTAGCCTGTCTTGTGAGTCCCATAGCCATTAAATATCTTCTAAATGATTCAATATTTGCAGCCTCCTTAGTAAAGTCAACTTCTTCGAGCATGGATGCTCTTATGTCTTGGACAATACCAACCTACAAAAAGTAAGTCTGGCTGAAAATGAACCTCCAAGAAGTACACCAAGTAAAGAAAAAAGTTCCCATCTCGAGAAATTACTAGAGTGAACTTCAGCTATGGCATGGTGACTCTGTGCTTAAGAAATTATGAGAATCCCCTATTTACTTTAGGTATCTCACGCTGGCAGACAATTTAAGTTATTTTCCAGATCTCACTCTTGTATGAAATGGAGACACTAATCAAAATGATAACACTGTTCCTTTAACATGAGAGAAGAGTGATAATAAGGAAAAGGGTCTAAAGTTAGCATCCAATTGATGAGAATGGAACCAATACAGACTAGGAAACAGAAAAGGAATAACATCTTACCAGTGATGCACGGCTAACCTCAGGACTTAAGAACTCCAATATGCGGGCGACAATATATATGAAATTTAGATCTGCCACTAAAACATCTGCTATTCCTGGTTTCAGGACCTTTATCACCACATCTTCTTGGGAGCCTTTCAGTCTCGCAGCATGAACCTGAATAAATGAACATTTATTTTGGTAAACCATTTTGGAGGTAGAGAGAGATGTAACGCAAGACTTAATGAGGTAAATGCCAGAGGAATCTGTACCTGTGCTATGGAGGCTGAGGCAAGTGGGGTTGGGTCAACATACTCATACACAGACTCAATTGGTCTTCCGAGTTCCTGACGCAAGATTTCTTGAATTTCTTGAAAGGGAACAGGTGGAGCTCTATCAAAACACTTCTGAAATTCTTCAACATACTCGGGTGGGAACAATGTTGGAGCAGATGCTACAAACTAGCAAAGAGCAAACTAAGACAGCATCAGCACACAGAAAAGTAAACTGAATGGAAGCTATTTGTCTAGTATCAATGTGCGAAGTTTTTCTAGTAACAAGCATGGACCCAATCACCCATGGACCAAAGTCAATGGCTACCAAATATCAATCGATATGAATACTTGATCTACTTATCTAGGAAATTTTCAACAATAGGTCAGGTTGGATATAGATGATTCTTGCTTTTTGCAGTTCCAATTTATTTCACAAGAGTTGATGCCATTGAATCTGTGTGCCCTTGAACACAACATGAGCTTGTTAATGAGAAAATTTACCTGGCCCAATTTAATATATGTTGCTCCCATCCGCTCAAATAATCTCCTCAAATACACTGGAGAAAGAATCCCAAGCCGCATGTCAACCGGTAGCCCACTAGAGGAATTTGGTGACTGCAAACAGTGAAAGGAAGTAAGCCATTCTGCCCTTTGTTTGTGCTTTAATATAAGCTTGCTTTCACATGGTTAAGCCTTCGTGTAACATCAAGGAGAAGGAAACAAACAAATGATTAACACAAAGTAACACAATAATCACAAGAATAATAGTAAGTGAGAATTTTTAACTCAACAACAACGATAGTTCACCATTATAAGTTTACCAAGAGCTTTCCTGAATGAGTGTAAATTCCAGCTTTATCGTGCACATGGAAGTTGTACAACCATTTCTATGTAGAATTAAATATGCCAGAAATGGGATTGCAATACATCATTAAGTAGTATCTTAAAGAAACAGAAACTTAAGGTACATATAACTTACGAACATAACTTCACGGTTTGTGACAATTTCATCCATCTTAGGTTCAGGTTATTTCCTCTAGATTGGCAAATAAACAATATAGCTGAAGCAACCAAATTAGCTGAAGAGGAGTCACTGGGTGCCTACCCTTGATGCATCTTGCAGCCACTCCCCGCCGACTCCAATGACTGCTTGAATACCTTGTGCAAGTCTCAGTGGTCCACGCGGGCCTGTATTAAGAGATGTCTGAACAATATCCTCCACCAGTTTGGGCAAGTTCTCTAGGCTATCTGAGAATAGATATGGAGGAAGGTTAAGCAGAGAGTTCAGATAAGAAAAGTGAAGCATAATTAGAGCCAAAAGATGGAAGACAACAGCACTTGTTCTCACAGAACAGTTTTGAATTCTCAATTCTCCCATGAAGTTGATCTTTTTTGTGGTCTTAAATGCAAACAGAAATTGAACACGAGGAGTACTAATTCATCTTCTATACTGATTTTCCCAATACTATTCCTGTATTACAGCATCTATTCCAAACCAAAAGCTGATAGATTAACAAGGGAGGAGAATTTAAGATACCTTGGAGACGTGAGGAGAAGATCGACTGAGACTGAGCTTGAGAATACTGAGCGAAAAGGGTGAAGCGCTTTGCAACGTTTCTCAATCTCTTGTTACCAAGTGGCGACTGTGACAGACCAAAAGTAGGCAACAAGCAATCCCATCAAGGAAAATTTTGAGCAAACCCCTGAACCCATATCTGATAACATGAAAAATTGAAGGAAAGTGCCGAGCTTTTTACCCCAGGAGTGAGGCGAGGAATCGGGCAAGGATTGGAGAAAGAGAAACGAGAACCTCCTCTCAGGGCAGATACAGAGATCATCGCCATGGCGTTTGGTGTTCTCGCTGCGCTGCAGGAAAAGGATTGGAGAAGACTAGTAGAGAGAGATAGAGAGAGAGAGAGCAGGCGGAGAAGTGAAGACTGTAAATTTGGTCGCTCGATTCAAATGCTAAGCAGCCGACCGTACTGGTAGCTGCAACCAGTGAACTAAGGAGATTGACAAATTTCTCAATGTGGTAACGAAGAAAAAATCTGTCAGCAAATTTAGAACCCGGGGGAGGAAGACGGACGAGAAGAACGCCACGTGTCAGGCTATTTGTTCATTGAATGGTTGCTAAAATGCTATGAGGGTTACTATTTGCCGCCGGGCAATTACTATTTGCCGCCCGTAAAAAACACTAAAAGGACAATTTTGCCCTCCAAATATTTCTTTATATTCTATTCGCTGAATGGTTTTTTAAACAACTTACACACTACCCGAGTCCCGACCACCAACCCCCCACAAACACCACAGCCACCGGACGGCAGCCAAACTCGCCGGTCACCGGACCAATCTCGTCAGGATATCGCCGGGCACTGGACGGCAGCCGTACCCCGTCGTCGGACCAGCGAAGCAGGTAAACCTCTTGCTGATCCTGAATTTTTTGTTCGGTCCGCTCGCCGGCGTCGGGCCCCGTCCGCTAGCCGGAGGCGGACCCCGTCCGCTCGCCGTCATCGGACCGCGTCCGCTCGCCGTCGTCGGTCGCCGTCCGAAGCCGGCGAGCGGACGCCGTCCGAAGCCGGCGAGCGGACGGGGTCCGACGCCGGCGAGCGGACGGGGTCCGACGCCGGCGAGCGACGACCGGTTGCATAACAGTGTTGTATGTTTTCCTATTTTATTTCTAGAGCTAATAATTTATAATTTATTGCTTTTATTTCTATTTTACATAGTTAAATTCCTTTGTAGTTTGAATTAAGCGAATCGTATTTTGTTGTAGCGCTAATTAGTTTCTTACTGTCAAATTATCGTTATTTTGTAGAGTTAATTAAATTATTGCATGTAGTTTAATTTTGTAGAGTCAATTGAAGCACAATTAGTTTAATTAAGCGATTGTGTTTTGTTGTAGCCCTAATTAGTTTATTGTGTTTAGATATAATTCGTAGAGCTAAAGATGTTTAAAAATTTATATTAAAATAATTTTCTTATCGTCAAATTATCATTATTTTTTAGAGTTAATTAAATTATTACATTTAGTTTAATTTTGTAGAGTCAATTAAAGCACAATTAGTTTAATTAAGTGATTGTGTTTTGTTGTAGCGCAAATTAGTTTTATTGTGTTTAGATTTAAATCGTAGAGCTAATTTGGTTTAATAATTTATATTTAAATTATCTGTATTTTTTAGACTTAATTAAATTATTGCATTTAGTTTAATTTTGTAGAATCATATAATTTGTACATTTCTAACGAGAGTCAAAATCATAATTGCAGGTGGACATGGCTGACAATGTTGAACTAATTGGTGATTACACAGACCATTTTCTTAATGGCGTCCGATATGCCAATTTCGAAGATGCTGTAACAGAGACCAAAAACATCGCGATGTCTCTTGGTTTCTTTCTAACTAAGGGATCGATGAAGCCACGTGACTTGGGCAACGAAAGATCATTGGGTATCTGTTATATGTATTGCGACAGATGCAGTAGGGAGAGGAAGTCATACAAGCCGGATCCTTCCAAAGAGAGTCGTGGCAATACAAGTTCAAAAGGAGCGGGATGCATGTTCAAGATTAAAATCAAAGAAATACTGGTTAATCCAGATGCTCGTGATGGACCTACATTCTGGGAGATACAAGGAGTCGCGGAGCAAGGAACCGGTTTAAGGCGAGGGTATCACAGTCATGAGAAAATGCTTTATCCCGAGGGCCACAGTCAAATGAATAAATTGAGTCAGGAGGATAAAGAATCTCTTAAGCAGATGAGAGATGCTGGGGTACCTCCGTCGCAACAGAAGCAGACAATAAACAAGCAGAAGGGTGACAAAGGGCATCACACCCAAAGGCAGATGTATAACCTCGGGTCCAAGTCTAGGAAAGAAGAGATGGGCGAGATGAATGCAGTGCAGTATGCGTTGCTACAAGCTGAACGTGAGAATTATCATACAGAGGTTATGAAGGACGATGACGACGTGCTGACACATCTTTTCTTTGCCCATCCAACTTCCATCCAGATGTTGAAGGCTTGGCCGTACGTGATTCTGATCGACTCAACGTATAAGACCAATGCATATAAATGGCCGTGGGTGGAGGTCGTAGGTGCAACTCCAGTTGGGAAGAATTTCAACATCTGTTGTGCTCTCATGAAGGATGAGACAAAAGAGTCGTATTTGTGGCTGTTGCAGTGCATACAACAATTGCTCCATCCTCGCGTGCCCTCTGTCATCGTCACCGACCACGAAGGTGGACTACTTGCTACGGTTCCTGTGGTCTTCCCCCGCACCCCGCATTTGCTATGTGTTTGGCACATCAACACCAATGTGCAGAAGAAGTGCTTGGAAATATTTGGGAAGAACAGGATGGATTTGGTCAACGAGGCGTACGACCAATATTGGTGTCCTATGCTTTATTCTTGGTCAGAGCAAGGTATGTTGGCCGCGTTTGGCCGCTTTAGGACAAGATGGGGCAATCAAGAACCACGTCTGTTGCAATACATACAGGGAGTGTGGTGGCAACATCGAGAAAAGTGGGCTGTTTGTCATATAAAAAATGTGTTTCATCTAGGAAATACGAGCACAAACAGGGTTGAGTCGTCACATTCCGCTTTGAAGACTTTCCTCCACAACTCGCGGGGATCTATGGACACTGTATGGAAAGGAAACCACCGCTACATTACTAACCAACTCGGGGAGGTTAGGATGATGTTGGAAAACTCTAGACAGAAAACCCTTTCAGCATCCGGTGGTACACCATTCACATTCTTGAGAAGGAAGGTCAGCATGCAGGCAATTATATTAATGAAGGAGGCTGAAGAAGAATTGGGTGCCCGCTTGGAAAAAAATGAGAACTCCCGATGTGCATGTCATTTCTCTGTGACACACGGCTTGAGGTGTGGATGTCAAGTTATGGATGGCAGAGCGCGAGACATAGAGATATATCCCGGTGATATTCATATATATTGGCGGACACTGTCATATGAGCATCCACCCAATGCTCAGGAGTACGTTCCCCAGGAGGAGGAGGCTAGATCTCACCTTCGGGAGTTGGTTGATGAGGCTGTACGCAGAGGACCAGAGGCAACTAAAAAAGCAGCAAAGAACATGTTTCGCGGTCTCCACCCGGCGGAGGACAACATTCACGAGCCAGAAGTGAACGAATTTAGAAAGGGGCGCCCAGCCAAAAAATCAACTGGAAGAATGAAAGGGTGGTGGGAAAAGATACTGCGAGGCAATAAGAAAAGCATGAAAAAGAAGTCGGGAAGCACAACGTCGGGGTCTACAAAGTCGACCAGTACCAAGTCCACGGGGACTCAGACAGACGAGTACCCGTCAGACGACCATGCAGCGGAGGAGTGTGATGATCCAGAAGATAACAACAAATACAACTGCTTTGACACAGGTACAATTTAATTTTTTTTCATAAGTGTAGTTATTTATATTAATATTTTAAAATATAATTGTGCCGATTACCTATTTTCTTCACAGATATCCCTGGACCCAGCAGCGCCCATTCCGATTACGAACACATGGAACTGCTTCCTGTCTTCATTCGGCCGCTTGTCATTGCCATCCACGACCCGGCGCCAGACGGTCATTGTGGGTTTCGTGCACTTAGTTTTGCACTATATGGTACTCAAGAAGGGTTCACAGGGGTGAGGACACGACTTGCTGAAGAAATGCGTGAGCACGATTGGCGATACGCACCCATCTACGGTGAAGGCATCAATGATGCAATCAGACGCATTGACATCACTACTACAGAACCAACGACTCAACATCATTGGATGATGGGTGTGGATCTATTCGTATTTGCCACACTATTTAATTTGGCGGTTGTCATGTACAGCCATTACTTCTACCCAACTCCGCAATCGTACAACTGCACCATTCTGCCAGTGGACAACATATATGGGGAAGCCCACCCTAGAGGAGTCATTGTTGTGCATTTCGTCCAGAACCATTGGATCAACCTCTCTTTCCCGGCGGACAAGATACCGATGCCCCCGCCACATGGCATGTGGCCAGACGGTCACCAAGCAAGCGTGGATGTACCGCTCTGTGCATCCCTCCTCTTACTCGACCGGGGTGCTGTACCGCGCCACCTGAATGCTCCTGCCTGCCCCTGCTCCAGCTCTCGTGGCTCCAACCGAGTAGGCCTCAAAGTAGGAAAGTGGTCGTAAATCCAACACTGTAGTAAAGTCAGACAACCCGACACTCCCTTAGCCTCCGCCCGGGAGGCAATACCAAGCTGCCTGTACAGATAAGCAAGTGCTCCAGCCCCCCACGCATACTCTCCTAGCATATCCGGCCTCTTCACAAACAAGTTCACAACAGCAGAAACGCGGTCCTTACTCTTATCTACGAACAGTGTGGACCCAAGCAGCAAAAGAAGGTAGCACTGAGCCTCTCTAGCTGGCGGACCAGACTGCTGCAAATGAGTCAAAGCTCCCACACCCGACAAACTAAATCCTCTGTACCACCTAGACAGACTAGCAACCTCGCCAACCTGCGGCCCGTACTCATCCTCGTCACGATCTAATCCCAGTAGTGCTCGGATGTCAGCCTCCAGTGCAAACTTCTCCAACTGCCTCGGATCCACTACCATCGCCTCTCCGTCAACCGCAAGCCCAAGAATGTGTGCCACGTCGTGAAGGAGGATCGTCATCTCTCCAAACGGCATGTGGAAGGTGTTAGTATCCGGCTGCCACCTCTCCACAAATGCCGAGATGAGAGCAGGGTCCAACTCGCTCTGGAAGGTGATATCAACGAGGTGAGCAAGGCCCGATGTCTCTACGGTAGTCCTAGCGTTATCATCTGCTATCTGATAACCGCCGAGAACGTGACAAAGGGTCGCACTCCTGTCGTAGCAAGTGATCACCCCTCTATCAGCCTCTCCCGTGTACAGACGGTGGGCAACATGCCCAAGAAAGCTACAGAGCAAACTCGGGTCGCTCGGCCCGCCAGGACACGGTCCTCTAGGCTCCCAGGCCTCTCCTACATCAGCAGTAGAACTCTGGCCCTCACCAGGCTGTGGAGCTCTATAGAAACGCCCCGCATGGTCTCTATAGATCCCAGTAACAGCATGAACCCCAGTAACGACAGGTGACGCAACGCTGGGGGCACCTCTGTCTCTGATCGGACTGACTCGTGGAATACGTGTCTCAACAGCATCCGACTCATACTCCTCCGACTCGTCGTCAATCTCGTCTGAAGGCTCAAACGATGAAGTATGATGATCAATACCGGGACCAGCTCCACTACCACCCATACTAGGCATCCGAAAATCAAACTCAGGGAAACCGTCTGCCCTATATCTCATCGGTGTCACCTGTGGCCGTGGCTGTGGCTGAGGCTGTGGCTGAGGCTGTGGCTCATCTCTATCATTTGGGTCCTTATTTCTCGCACTAGCGCTAATGTTACGCCCAAGGAATCTTTTCAATCTCTTTCCTGGTCCTCCAGAACTACGTGATCCTCCAGAATTACCAGATGACGCCATCTCTAAACATAGACAATAATTTTCTATTAATATCTTATTGAAAATTATTTGTTGAGCAATTACTTGTTGTTCATAGAGTAATTATGATACATACAATTTGTTATCTACTTAATATTTCGTTTGATGTTATCTACTTAATTTAATTAATCTATTATAATAAATTATTAGATTAGCAATTTCTTCATAGTCATAATTTATCAATTACTAATTATGATACATACAACTTGGTTATCTAATTAATTTATCAATTACTAATTAATTTAACTAGATAGTTATTCAAATAATTATTTCAACTTACCCAACTAACACATTATATAATTAATTAACAATTATAATTATTTCAACTTACCCAATTAATAAACTAACGCATTATATAATTAATTAACAATTATAATTATATACAAATTAATCAACTATCAATATTAAATTAATTAATATACTAACAATTGTATTTAAAATAAATATAATAAATATTTCATTAAACCAACCATTCAAACCGAATCAGAAACCCAATCAACCGGCCCGATCAGACGGGTCCGATCAGACCGGGCGGACGGGGTCCGACCAGACCGGGCGGACGGGTTCCGACCAGACCGGGCGGACGGGGTCCGCTCCGACCGGGCGGACGGGGTCCGCTCCGACCGGGCGGACGGGGTCCGCTCCGACCGGGCGGACGGGGTCCGCTCCGACCTGGCGGACGGGGTCCGCTCCGACCTGGCGGACGGGGTCCGCTCCGACCAGGCGGACGGGGTCCGCTCCGACCAGGCGGACGGGGGCGAGACAGTATTAAAAAAAAAAAAATTACCTCGACGCCGACGACTGGAACAGCGGCGGCTTCAGCTTCTCCTCGGCGGCGACTCCTGGGCGGCGACTGCGAGCAGAGGGGGAAGTCGGCGGCGGCGGCTGCTTGAGGAGTTTGCCGGCGGGTGGGCTGGGGGAAGCTCTCGGCAGAGGGTGGGCTGGGCGGCAGGCAGGGAGGGGTGGGGTGGGGTTGGGGTGGGAGGGGTGTGGGGGTGGGGTGGGAGGGGTGGATAGATAGGGTTAGGGCTAGGGGCAATTTTGTCTTTTCTGTTCTAACTATGGGCGGCAAATAGTAAAACGACGGGCGGCAAATAGCGATTCAGAATGCTATTGGTGTGTCACTCTTCATTAGTGTATTTTTTATTCAAACTCTTTTCGATATAATCCATACGACCTGGGAGTAAAAAAAAAAAAAAGAGGCCACTGAATTTCTGGATTGTGATTTATGTAACACCCCGAACCTTTTCCCGACAAGATACTGTCCGCTTTGGGCCTCTACACCCGCACGGATTTCGACTTGGGGTGCAATTCAGGGTGACTTCTCATAAGGTCACCCATCCTTGTTGTGCTCCGCACTGAGCACGTTTAACTTCGGAGTTCTCACAAGAACTCCTCCGTTACACCCCAAAACGCGTCTTTTCAGTTAAGGTCGGTTTCTTACTTATGAACCATGGATCTCTCCCGTGCTTTGTTTAGAGAACCATTTTTTTCCACAGTTATTTTTAATTTGATGCTGCAAACTTTGTTATGCGTATTAGCAACCGTTTCCAGATGTTGTTTCCCTCCCAATGACAGGTTCTTAAGCATTATTCACCTGTCCGTCACTGGAAACATCACTTCCTGTCCGACTTGCATGTGTTAAACATGCCAGAAGAATGAAGTTATCTCGAATTGGATTTGAAATAATTGGAGCTTATCCAGATTTTCAGTTTCCTTTTGTGTAGTTTTCTTCAATCAATTAAAAGTGGAATCTCGAAAATATGCGAGGAAGAAGAGGGAGGAGAGTGGACGAGATTTAGGCGAAATGAGATAGGCAACTCATTCATTCATCTTATTTACTAGCTTACTTACCATGAATGAAACCTACAGTAATTGTGATGAAATTTTGGACCGAAGAACACGAGATTTTGAACCACAACAGCACCTACATTAGGAACTAAGACAATTTCGATTTTCGAGGAAGTGTTATTCAAGAATCAGAATCAGAATCTGTATCAGTCTTAGCATCTGCTTCCAAAAATGGTGGCTGGATCCTGTTCGTGTTGGCTTCTAAAGGCGGGAGATCGTCGTACTCTTCTTCATCATTGGAATTGAGCTCGTCTACTTCACGGCTTGGGACTTTTGCATTAGAGCTTCTACCATTGGTATAGTCCACAGTTGTAGACCTGAAAATTTCTGGCCTGAATCAAGAAAACAAAAAAAAATAGTAATAAGATAACACAAATAAAAGCAGATGAATCATATGCTTATGTAAGCTTTGTACCAAAAGTTTGTTGGGGAAGAAAGAACACAAACCATTGAGGAGATTTCTGCAGTGTACGGAGTTGTTCGTGGAAGAGAACCTGGGAAACAATGCAGGTCACTTTGCTGCCTGACTCCATCGCCTTTTCCTTCGCACTGTCGTCCACTATGACAAAGCTCCCTGCCAATCAACAATGTAATCTTTTAAACAGCAAATCACTTCTTCTGTGATCAAATGCGGTATGGCAAATTTAAAGACGATCCAATTCAATCACAGAAATGTGAGTTGGATTCTGCTGAAAAAAAGAATCAAACCTTTCTTGATCCACATGCTCTTCTGAAACTTAGCTGGAAACAAAGCCAAGGACTTCTCCCCATTTGTGCCCACTACCTGATACAAGAGATATATATCTTAACATTCCATTTAGCAGATAAATAACCTACAACCCCCTAATCAAATCACCGGGGATTCAGACTTTTTTTCCGGCAAACCAGAAAAGGGCACCTCACCTCGATAAGGTTGGAACCTCGAAGAGATAAAACCTGCATTATGCTTTGCCCACCTTGAAGTGTGAAGTCATGTTCCTTTGCTGCTGCCCTCTTCAAATTCTTCCTTCCTCCCTTCATCTTTCCTTCACCAAGCTCACCAACTGTATTCAACATACCCTTAATCAAATTTAGGATCTTTCCATTCAATGATAGTTAGAAAAAGTATTACAACTTCAACGCCTACAGCGTAACCTAAGATGATTCGACAAATAGCATCAAGTGCTTGCCCTTAAGTTAAACTTCAAGTTGTCTACTAAACTTGACTTTTCAATGCATACAAGCAAAGCACTGGAACTTCCTATCGCTGGCTGCACCAATATTCCAAAGCTTTTACTAGAAGGAAGGTACATGCTGTAACTGAGAAAAGGATCAAGCACTAACTTTTCTGGTGTTGTACTACTTGCATCACTTCCTGGTTGTCCCTTCTTTTCCAAATTCCAAAGGATCAGAACAATTTGTATTCGCCAATTCTAGTTCTTTAGCAACATTAGTTACTATCTAGCCTCATAAGTTTATTCTATCCAAATTATAGCCCTGCTGCTAAGCCATAACACATTGGGCTGACAAGAGGTGGGGAGATAAAAAGATATTGTATTCTTCAGCAAAAAAAGAGCTTTTATGCCATAGCTAAGGATTGCAAAAGGACGAGAATGTGAAGCAACAACGATCTCTTGTTCTCCTTAAACCCCAAAGGGGCAGGACAAAAGAAAGGCAGAGACCGTTAGGGCGAAAGGGACGTTTAATTAACTACATTGCTATTCGAAGGTTCAAAAGATTGTTACTTTACGATGATGAAGCCATGGGAGGACAGGGAAAAGTGAAAAGACATCAAATTTGCACTGCCGGAATTAGAACTTGTTATCACGTACCTGGTAGCTGAAGAAAAGGCAGAGAAAACCCAAGCAATAACCTGGAGTAACAGGAGTGACTGTGATCTGGGTAGGGAAAACAGCAGCAGCAGAAGGAGAGGAGAACAGTTGGGGAGGAAAGAAGGGAAAGTAGTTTAGTTTGTTATTAGGGTAAAATATATTCGTCCCCTGTTTCGGATTTCTCTGCCAAAACACAAAGCAGTCCACGAAGTTCTAAAAACAGATAAATAAATCGGCCGAGGCTGAATTACAGTTCAGCCCTCTACTACTCGCGGCACGAACGAAGATTGAAGCGCCGGCGGGCGGCGATTGGATTGCTGGTGGGGTTTCCGCTCGAGTTCAACAGCCAAAAGAGGTCTCAAGTAATTGGGAAGTTTGGAGGTCACTTTGAGCAGAGGATCAAAAAGGGTTTTGAGGTAATTTGCTCGATCCCAGGGTCACTCAACAGCGGAAAAAGAATCCGAAAACTCCGAACTTCAATTAAGGGGTCGTGTTGCTACCGACTCTCCTAAGTTGGGCGCGTGACAAATTATCCCATTGCACTTCTCTGCAAGTTTAGCCTGCCCTGCCCCCCATGCTGCACTCCATTAACATAGCATAAGAGGCAGTTTGCCATCTCCAGGTTCCTTTATTTGCTTTTGCAGTGCAATTCTACTTCTTCTGCCATCCGAATTCCTTGCCGATTCGGGTTCCTCGTACCGCTTGCCCATTCAATGGAGAAAGAAACCACTTGAAGAATTGACATTCGTGGTTTGTTTGCCTTCACAACAGAATATCAAGCAGTATGCTCCTTTTGTTAAATTCTTCTTAGCCACTCTACCTCCATGAATTTCCTAGCTGGGTTTGCACCAATTTCGTTGAAGTTCGGTTCTTTGCTATATGTGATAGTGGAGTGTTGCCTGGATTGAGTGTTGGTTGTTTATTCTATTCGTGCTTATGTTAGTTCTGCATTGTTTTATGAATGTTGTAGCTACTTAGCACAGTCATGGGCAGAAGGAAGCAATCCCGGCCTCATCGGTCTGGTGGTTTGGTTATAGAACCTAGTAAGGCTGCTGGGTCTGGATCAGGATTAGATAAAGGAAAGTCAATTGAAGCTGATGCCACGGAACTGGAGCAAGGACTTCCATTAGATAAGCCCTATTATGTTGAAGTGGATAAGAGTGACTGGATTTCGGTCGAGCACCTTGATCTCTCTGAAGTTGTTCTAAGTAATTTGTCTCTAAGTCAAGAGTATCCTACTTTTGTTATAGATCAAGACTTTTACCAGGAGTTGAAGTACTCCTTCAGAATATGCGTTGGCGATGTTGATGATAGCGACCTTAATCGTATTAAGTTAGGTCATTGGCCTGTGGTATCTTCTGATGAAGTGAGGTTGGAGATTGTCGAGAAAAGTATTGCTGAGGACGGAGAAAATGAATCTCTAGTCTTATCAGGGCGTTTTGATGGTCCAGATGAAGGTGTTTCTGGTCTTGTTCACTTAATAAGTATGAAGTTCGTGACACTGAGGCCAGTTCTAGGATCTAAATGTTCAGAGGAGACGAGGACCATAAGGATCAGAGTTGAAATGGTGAAGGACGCTTTTGATGCTTGTGAATCACTTCTGGAATATAACAGGCAGGTCTGGAAGAAGAGTATGATGAACGTGATGGGTTGGCTGAGACCAGAAGTGATGACTTCTGAGGCTAGATATGGAGTGACTGAATCCATGGAAGTGGACGTCAATAGAATCATGGAGATTGAACATGACTGTAATACCTCCAGGAAGCGTGCAAGGTTTGATGTTGCAGGATTTTATGAAGCCATTAAGCCATCCAAGTAAGTGCTGTTTTGGTCTGAACTATTGATCATCACCTTAATGCTAATTTCAGGCTAAAAGAAGTTATTTTACTTGCTTTATGTTGCTAAATTTAAAGCACAACTTGTCACGGTTTATCTGCATAGGTTGGAAAAGATGCTAGAAGATGAATTGCCTGACTTGCTTCCAGTTCTTAGACCCTACCAGCGCCGTGCAGCATTCTGGATGGTGCACAGAGAGAAAGGTGATGGTGAAGAGGAAAGAAGTAAATCTTTTTCTCCACTGAGTTTGCCAGTGAATTTTCTTGACAGATGCACAAGAATGTTCTACAATCCATTCAGGTGCAACTTTTGTTTTTTCCCCCCAGCTGAACATAATGTGGAAAGTTCTAAGGTTCTATTCACACTCTTCCTCTTGACACTTTAATACGCTCTGCAGTGGCAATATTGCACGTCAACCAGAATATTCCTCACCACCAATCTTGGGTGGAATTCTTGCTGGTAAATCCACTTTACTTACTGTCTCATATTCATATCATATGGCTACTTCAGCTCTTGCAGATGATGATCAGGATAGTTCATCTAAAGCTAGGTTGCCTACAATCATTTTTTTATCAGCATGCAAATAACTGAAGTTTTGTCTGTGACCCTTATTAAAAAAAAAGCAGAGGTTTTGTGTGTTTCCATTTTAAGTTGGATATATTGTCCTCCCTCTTTCATAGAATTTTGAACGAATTTGGGATTTGTTTATACATAATTAACTAGACTGATGTACCCTTGACATTGTAAAGGATGGAGAGAAATATGCAGGAAGCATGTATCTTCTTTGCACGTGTGGATGATCGGTAAATGATTATGATCCTTTTGACTTCTGCAGATGAGATGGGTTTGGGGAAAACTGTGGAATTGCTTGCTTGTGTATTTGCTCATCGTCGAACTGAATATGATGAGGATAATATGATTGATATTGAACAAACAGATGCTGAGAATGAAAAGGTTCTTAAAAGATTGAAAAGAGAGCGAGTGGAGTGCATTTGTGGAGCCGTAACTGAAAGTTACAAGTATACGGGACTTTGGGTACAATGTGACATATGTGATGCTTGGCAACATGCAGACTGTGTTGGTTACTCACCAAAAGGAAAACGAAAGAGGTCAACTAGTGTTTTACAAAAACACAGAAAGAAGACCACAATCAGCTTTGTCGAAAGAGATGGTCAACATATTTGTCAGATGTGTTCGGAACTAGTTCAAGCTACTGACTCTCCCGTTGCTACTGGCGCCACTCTTATTATTTGTCCGGCTCCTATACTGCCTCAGTGGCATGCAGAAATTATCCGGTACAACATCTTATATTGGTTTGTTGGTCTCTTACTTTGAAGGATGTTCAATATATGTTATTCCCATTAGGAGACCTTGGTTGCATGGACAGTAGTCAAAGAAATTTTCTATGTGGATTCATTAAGAAGGTTAAAAAATAAAAACTCTGTAATGATCGTGCACGGACTTCAAGTAGAATTCTTCATTAGGACATGTGTGTGAAAGAGCCATGTGATGCTCACCCACGTACCGTGGTGATTTTACTAAAAGTAATTGAATATTATATGTAAATGATGTTGTGTTGAAAGCGTTCATAGAATTCACATGCCATTCTCTTTCAGCATACTGTGGCCATTAGCCTGGCTAAAACATCAGCGGCCTCCAATGTAGGAATCCTTTCCAAAGACACTTTCATGATTTCATCTTTTGGTCGTAGATTAATCTTTCAGTTTGCTATGATCTTTTGGTGGTTGGGATTGCATTTAAAGTTTTTGCCTGCCTTGTGTAGAAAAGCTCAACGTGCTTGCTGTTGCACTTCTTTCCCTTGATCAGGCATACACGTCCAGGCTCCCTAAACGTTTGTGTCTATGAGGGTGTTCGAGAGTCATCTCTTTTGAATACATCGGCAATTGGTATTGAAGAACTCGTCTGTGCAGACATTGTGCTAACCACATATGATGTGCTTAGAGAGGACTTGTCACATGACTCTGATCGGCACGAAGGTGATCGACACTTCTTGAGATTCCAGAAGAGGTTCTTACAATCCTTGTGATTTGTTGCTTTCAGTCTGAGATGTTGGTTTTACCTTTTCCCCCCTTTATCTTTCCATGCATTCTGGATTTTCCCTTTATATTCAATAATGTAAAGGGTGATGAATGACGAGTAATTCTAACATCGAGAGGCTCATGCGTGCATGCTTTCTGCCAACTGATGATATTCAGCAGTGTCTCGAGTTTTTTGTGATACTTGCCTTTTTCAATGTACATCCACTCCTCAACTGAGTAAAGTTTAAGAAGTTACGTGGCAGTTAAGTTTTAAATGTGGGGCAAGTTATTGTTGCAGTTACTTTGAACTTAATGCTTCAAGATGTTGGTTTTTCTAGGTACCCTGTTACTCCAACTCTTCTTACCAGAATATTTTGGTGGAGGCTTTGCTTGGACGAGGCACAAATGGTGGAGAGTAATGCTGCAGGTGCCACAGAGATGGCCCTTCGACTGTCTGCTAAGCATCGTTGGTGCATCACTGGGACACCTATTCAGCGCAAACTTGATGACTTACATGGACTTCTAAGGTTCCTTAAAGCAAGACCCTTTGATGTCTCGAGGTGGTGGGTTGATGTCATGAGAGACCCATATGAGGTATGAGAGCTTTAATGAAGCACACATCTCGCAGGTTATTTTGTTGGAATGCTAGCGAACATGGGTATTCCTCTCATGGATCTTAGTTACGCAGTAACTTCTTAAAACATAGAGTGGAAACATGAACGTTTCTCAGGGTGAGATGAGAAGAGGAAGAATAATGCTTAAGTTTCATCTTGTTTAATCACAATATAATAGTGCATTTCCTTAAATACAATACTGTGGACTTCATGTAGTTCCACTTTAGACCACCTTTGGTTTAATCCCAATTCATCTTGACTATGCATGTTAGCAGAGGCAAGACAAAGGGGCTATGGAGTTTACACACAACTTCTTTAAACAAATAATGTGGCGATCTTCCAAAGCACATGTTGCAGATGAGTTGCAACTTCCGCCTCAGGAAGAGTGCCTATCTTGGCTTGCTCTTTCAGCAATTGAGGAACATTTTTACCAGAGACAGCATGAAACATGTGTGAGTTATGCCCGTGAAGTTATAGATAGTTTGAAAGCTGACATTGTCAAAAGCGAAGCTTCTGGTTAGTAGCTATTTATCTGAACCTTCATTTACAACTCACGTTCAAGGCAAGGTTACTTAGGTTGCTAAGTTGCTTCTGCTTCCTTATGTTCATGCAGATGGCATATCTTCTAACAGTTTGACCAATCCATTCATCACCCACACGGAAGCTGCAAAGTTACTAAATTCTCTCTTGAAACTTCGTCAAGCTTGCTGCCACCCTCAAGTTGGAAGTTCTGGATTACGTTCCCTACAACAAACTCCCATGACAATGGAGGAAATATTACTGGTTTGGTCACTGTTACAACCTACTGCGTCCAATATTCTTTGGAGCTTCTGCTATTTGTAGCTTATGTATGTAAAATTTTGCAGGTTCTTGTGAGTAAGACCAAGATAGAAGGGGAGGAAGCTCTCAGGAAGTTAGTAGTTGCTTTAAATGCCCTTGCAGGGATAGCTATTATCAATCAAAATTTTGGTGAAGCTGTAAAGTTGTACCAAGAAGCATTGGCTCTTACTGATGAACATTCTGAAGATTTTCGTGTGGACCCGTTATTGAACATTCACATTCATCACAATTTGGCCGAGGTGCTTGTAAAGGAACCCGGACTCTCTTCAGAGAACTGTTCTCATGGAGACCAGCGTAAATGTTCTGAGAATGTCTTCAAGGTTCACGATATTGGAAAATGCGATCTGAGTTCTGTTGAGAAGAAAAATATCGGAGTAGATTCTGAGATCACCCATGCTTCGAATTTATTTGAGCCGTCAAAGAATTGCTTAAATTCTGACCAAGAAAGTGAGAACTTCATGGCCTCTAGATCCTTCAGTGATAACTCTCTGAGAATAACATGCGAGAGTTTGAAAAAGAAGTATCTGTCTGTGTTTAGTTCAAAGCTCTGTGTGACTCAGCAAGACTTCCGAAAATTATACGTGCAGGTATTTCGTCCACCTAATTTTGCTATCCTGCAAATCTGTAGCATTTATAGGATTGCATAGCATCAATTTCCTCCAGGTTTTTTCGTTTCATTCAATCATGGTAGTTTTTGCTGGTTGTTTTCTCTACCATACTGCTTCATGAAAAACCTTTATGCTTAACCCTAAGGGGTTGGTCAGTGATAATGTGGGGTGATAACACCCTCCACTCTGACTACACTATAGTTCGAACCTTGGGGCAACAATCACTCTCCAGTCTGCTTATTTGTTTATTACAGTTGGTGTATGCATGTTATTGGATCAGACTCATGGCTATTTTCAGTTTTCTACACTCAAAACATGTCATATGCCTTTACATTTTAATCTTCAGCATACTGTGGGTTGATTTTATGTGTCTGGTAGTTTTGTTTGAACTGAATTCGGAATGCTTATCTAAAGGTTGCTAACGAGTTCGGCGATTCAAAAGATGAACATTCATTCTGGTGGTTGGATGCTCTTGATCATTCTGGGCAGAACGAGGGCATATCAAATGAACTACTAAAAAAGATTGAAGAGGCCATCTCAGGAAGTCGAAAAAACTCAAGGTCCACAAGAGTTGCATCCCGGTAAGTAGCTAGTTCCTCTGGACTGCTGCTATTACAAATTTTCTGCTGAATAAGGCATCCTACTCCCAGGGTAATAGTTTTTAGCTCAAAGGGCAACAGCGTAGATAAACTCATCACCATATTCAAGAATATTGGTGCAGATGCTTAATGATAAGGACAAAAGCCAAGTATTGAACCATGTTTCTATAGCATGTAGAATGCAATATATGTGTATTTTTCGTTCGAAATTGGATATTTTTGTATTAAGGGGTAACATATCAAGCAGCTTAAGGAACCATTACTAGGAAGATGCAGTTCTGCTTACAGCTATAACAGTATTGGTCAATTTTCAGTCATAAAAGGAAGTATTGGTCGATGTTTGTTTTGGGATTTATGTGAAGTGGTATTGTCTAGTTTTAGGTTCTGATCTCCTTACTGTTCTTACTCAGATTATACAAATCATCTTCTCGAGTTTTCAAATATCATTTAAAAAATTAATGTTGTTTGTATGCTATTTCATCCAGTTTCCGAAGCATTACTGCCCTAAAGTACCACATCCAGACTCGCCTCGACCAAGTGGAAACTTCCAGAAAAGTTTTGGTTGATCGAATATTGGAAATTGATAAATCAATGGAAAACCCCAAAGAAGATGATATTGAAAGTGTTAGATATTGCCGTGTTTGCCAAGGCGTTGATGATGGCCCCACATGTGTTCATTGTGAACTAGAAGAATTGTTCAAGGTTTGTATATGCATATGTACTACGTTCCCTAATGTATTGAAGAACCAAAAAAGCTCAGATCTGTTTTTATCTTTTGCAAAATCTTTCTTCAGGATTATGAAGCAAGGCTATTTCGCCTCAACAAAGCAGACGGAGAGATAATTTCTTCTGCTGAAGAAGCAGTGGATTTACAAAAAAGAAACACTGAACTGAATCGTTTCTATTGGAATTTATCACGCCAAGAAAAGAACTCATTTGTCGCTGGTGACGTAAATGAAGAATCAAGGAAGAGAGATGTTGGGGAAAGAGTAGTGGTAAGCTTTTCCTAACTGATCCAATTAACTAAGAGAGGGGTAAAGGAGCATTAGCTTCCGTGAATCCTCATTTTCATTTATCTATCCATAGGATTACTTTTTGTATGTCCAGTTCTGTATTTGATTTATCAGTTCATGCAAAAAATGGAAAGTTTCCTTACATTTTGGTAGTTTGGTTTCGTGAAGGAAGTAACTGTTTAAAAAGATGCTTAAACGAATATTATTTGGTTTGTAATAGCTGCTTATTACATTGGAATTGCTAGGTTTCAAAAATGCCCTCGGAACTCGAGGTTGTACTTGGAGTAGTAAAAAGCTATTGCAAGGCTCACTTAAGCAAGGAACACTTGTCTGCAGCCAACAAGCAGCTTCATTTACTGGAGGTACAATCTGGCGAACTCCCTTATTGTTTTTTTTTTATACTGTTCGAATGTTTCGCCTTACTAGCCACTGAGTTGGATGGTTCGACCTTTGCTCTTGCCAAAATTAATAGGGCATGAGGAAGGAGTATGGTTCTGCAAGATCGTTGGCGGTTGCTCAAGCTCAGTTTCTGCGTGCTCATGATGAAATTAGGATGGCAACATCAAGACTGCATCTAAGAGAGGACGAGAATGATAAGTCTCTAGATGCATTAGGTCCGGAGGAACTAGAGACAGCTAGCGTCCTACAATCTAGTGACAAGTTCGTGGCTCTGAATTTATTGTCACGTATTAAAGGAAAGCTTCGGTACTTGAAGGTATGTTCATACGCTCACCATTGTTGATAAACAAAATCGGTGTCTTGAACAAAATCGGTGTCTTGATGTGAAAAAACTTTAGTATATGTGAAAAAAAGTGTATTTGTTATGGAAGGTTCATTAGTTGCTACAATGCAAGAATGTGATTTTAAGTTATTGTAATATGAGTGCAGTCCACATGCATTTGGGTCCAACCCAATACCAAAATACATCCATAGGTGGCCTATATTTTCAACCTCTTATTCAGCTGTTTCTAGAAGCGAATTGGTTCATTCTTTTTCCTTCACTGATCTTTGGTACCTGAAATTTCTTTCAGGGTTTAGTACAATCAAAACAGAAAGTTTCTTCTGAATGTTCAAACACCCCCTTGTCAGCTACAACCTCAGTATCTGTGTCTACAGAGAGGGCAGGTGATGGTCTGACTAAAGATGATGAAGAAGCATGCCCTATCTGCCATGAGAAGCTAAACGATAAGAAGATGGTCTTCCAATGTGGACACTTGACTTGCTGCAAATGTAGGTTCTGCTTCAGCTATATAATCAGTATACTACATGTTTTAGGACATTAAGATCTAAGAATAACTGTTCTACGCATGCAGGCTTATTCGAGATGACAGATTCAAAACCGCAGCAGGATTATAACAAGTCCCAGCAGCAGCCGAAATGGGTGATGTGCCCAACGTGTCGACAGCGTACAGATTATGGGAACATTGCTTATGTTGATGATAGACAGGAGAAATCTTCCGGGTCAGATAATTCACCAACATCACAAGATTGTGAAAAGGGTGAAGCATCCTTGGCTGTCCAAGGTTCCTATGGTACTAAGGTATGTATTTATCTTCCGATGCCACATATTACTTAGTCATGTGAAAAAAGAGAACAAAAGAATGATTTACCCTAAATCACAAATCCGACAACTTCTGCTGATAATATTATTTGCGGATGTGAAGCTTGAAGCAGTGACGCGAAGAGTGCTGTGGATCAAGTTTTCAGAACCCGATTCCAAAGTTCTTGTCTTTTCAAGCTGGAATGATGTCCTGGATGTGTTAGAACATGCTTTCAAGGCAAATGGGATAACGTATATTCGCATGAAAGGAGGCAGGTTAGTTACAGCAAACTTTTGGACTTCTCAGATATACGGTGGTTCTCATTTCTCAACAACCAGTCATTGCTAACCATGATGGGGTAAATGCAGGAAATCACATGCTGCCATTAGTGAGTTCAGAGGGCAGAACAAGAAAAACCAGGAATCTACTGACGAACAGCAAGAACCCAAATCAATCCAAGTCCTACTCCTGCTGATTCAGCACGGAGCCAACGGACTCAATCTGTTGGAAGCACAGCACGTCGTGCTCGTGGAGCCACTGCTGAACCCAGCAGCAGAGGCACAAGCAATCAGCAGGGTGCACAGAATAGGACAGGAGAAGCGCACTCTCGTCCATCGCTTCATAGTTAAAAACACCGTGGAAGAGAGCATCCACAAGCTGAACAGAAGCAGGAACACGACGACGACTTCGTTCATAAGTGGGAACACCAAGAACCAGGACCAGCCTATTCTGACGCTTAAGGACGTGGAGTGTCTGTTTGCTTCTTCAACGCCAGCTGCAGAAGATAGTGAGAAGAAAACAGAAGAAGAAAAGGAGGCCAGTGAGAGTACTTCTAGCCTAAGGCAGCTGCCGCCAGCCGTGGCAGCTGCCATAGCTGCTGAGAGGAGACTAATGCAGAACAGACTTCCAGCCTCATCTCCAGCTTTGTAGCATCCGTTTAATGTAGTTTAGAGGACCATAATTAAACAAAATCTGTACATCTAGGGAAATAGAATCTTTCTTAAATACATGACATTCAAGTAATGCAAACTTCAAGTTCTTATAGATGACTTCCGATTGAAAAAAATGTGAGTATGTAATAAAAGAAAGATACATTATTCAACCTTTATCAACAACTCAAATTATCGAGATTAACGGATTATACACGTTTATAACAGCACATCCAGAAAGCCCAGAATCAATCCAGCAAGCCTGGTCCAACTTTTCAGCCGTGTCTGGAACTCTCTCCTTCCTGGACCTGCCACGTGTCTGTCTCCACAGCCTCATCAGCTGCCACGTTTCGAGAAACGTGCCGCTAGCTGGCCTCTCTAACCTTCGATACCATTATAAGTACCGCACACCATCGACACTACCAATTACCCCATTCAATTCAACCACGCCACAAATCACCATGAGAACATTCAGCTGCAGCATTACTCCTTATCCCACACCCGCCTCTTTTTCTCCTTATTCTCTTCCAAGAACCAAACTTTATCCACAACCATCGCAGCCATTGATCCCCATGAGAAGAAAAAACCAGTGCTCATTTGGGTTGGTGGCGAAGTGTGCCAAGTTGAATCACCGCCCTCAACAAGAAGCAGGAGGAGGAGAAGAAGAAGACTGGATCGATGTCGAATTCGGGAAGCTTGTGCAGGAGAAATGCAGAGAAAGGAAAGGAGTGGTGGAGTTGTTGGAGTGCCTTGAGGCTGAAGCAATCATGGGAGATGATCAGGGGAAGAACCCTACTGATTACAATCGCAGAGCCCAGATCTTTGATACGAGCTCCAGGGTTTTCCAGGCTCTCAAGCAACAAGATACCACCACAGCTCCACCTCAATCTCAAGGCTGAATAACTTCGATTCTCGCGATGATTCGGATCGTTGGATGTTTCTCGTCTTTGGATGATGTAGTGACATTGTTGTAAATAGAGTTCATGTTTAGTATATCCATCTTCTACTAGCAGAAACAAGTTGTTGCAACTTTATTTGTCTTCTGATATGTAATGTTAATGTGACGAGGAAAAAAACAGCAGCAAAATTCTGATTCAAGAATCTTGGGACATACATTAGAGATAAAGCATACAAATGAAAACGAACATTTTCCCCAAAGGGGGATCAAAATCAAGATTGTCAACAGAAAGTTCAGCTAAGCCTACCAAGCAACAAATCAAACTCCTTACCCTAACCTACTCCCCAAGTCAATAATTCAACTGAAGAAAGATTGACACTAACCAGCTACAAGCTAATTTAACAGAACTTCCAACGGTTGTCGCAGTTGACACAGGTGACGTAAGTAGTCATGGGCTCATCAGCACTCCTGGTCTGCATCTGGTGGTACTTGCACTTCCTCTGCCCGCACTTGCCGCACTTGAACTGATCCGTCGTGGCCATAGGTGCGCTCCCTAGCTCGCAATCGAACAAAGCCTTCGCCTCGATCTTCTCGTTCTCCTTCTGCCTGGCGTCGCTTGCCATCTCCGCGGAACTCAAGCTCACCACTTGCTCTGGCGTCCACTGTCCCAGCAGCACCTTCCTCCTGAAATCGGGGTTCTTTGCGTCCTTGATGTTGAACATGAGCGACCTGTACTTCACCCTCTGGTCTCCGGTGGAACCCCCCCACGAGGCAAACATAACCGACTCCAGTGATACAGCGACGGAGACCGGGTCACAGGCGTTCACCCGGCTGGAGAGCTCAGGGGATACTTCACCGGAAACCCTGCATAGAGCCTCGCAGAGTTGCTCCCTGATCTTGTTCCTCGTGGGATCGTTGCATTTGGGAACGGGGAGATGGATGGCGGGAGAGGAGGTGGGGGTGGCGGTCTTGGGTTTAGGGAAGTGGTTCGGCTTCGTTGAAGCAGCAGCAGCAGCAGTGGTGGTTTTGGGTTTAGGTGAAGGGGTTGGCTTTGTCGAAGCAGCGGGATTGTTACTGGGAGTCTTTCTGTCTGGCGTGTGTGGCTTCATAGGCGGGGTCGCAATGTGAAGCTTGTCCGAGTCGGCAGGCTTGGTGACTTTCTTGTGATCTGCAGCAGCGGCATTGGAGGTGTTGGTTTGCTCGAGGAACATGGCTTTCCATGTTTGGAAGATGTCGGAGGCGAGTTGCTGGATGTTCTTGCTGGCGTGTTTCGTAAGAGGTCGAAGCTGCTTCCCTACCTGAGGCAAAAAGATACTTGTTAAGAGTTCTGAACCATAAATGGTGAATGTGTGTAGTAACAAACCCTACTACTGTGGACAGTGGACAAGGCAAGATCTACTTCCTCTGTTTCAGAGGGTAGGTTGTGCTTTCCAACATATTATGAGCAAAACTTAGAAGCTAATATGAGGAGTGTCTGCTTTGGCATTTATTCTGAAAGAGCACCAACATGATGCATAGCACTATCTAGTGTCTGATTCATATGTTTCGAGCAATGTACTCGTACGCACTCAATCGTCACATGAATGGTTGAGTACGCATGAGTACATTGGTCGAAACATGACGGTAATGATCAATAAATGCAACATTGAAAACATGGTGTTTTGAAAAATTCGACATATGATCCAAACATATACTAAGCTAAGCAAATCGATGCATTAAAGGTTGCATTCCAACATAAGTTGCCATAACAAGAAAACCAGCTCCCATATCGATTCGAGACACGCGCGCGAATCTGGGACGCCGCAGCATTTTCCCAAAACACCCTTGTGCACAAGGAGACATAGATGCATTCTGGAATATGGCTAGGCAGAGGCTATAGGGGGGTGATATGCTTCCTTTAACAGAGTCAAATCACTGCACCAAAACATTGCCTCTTTCAACAATGACCAATCAATGGCATTGACAAGTAAAAGAAAACAGAGACACATTACTACCATTGATACTCATGTTCATAACTCGTCAACAGGGGGAATGCACCTGAAAAACACACACAACGAATTGTTCTTGTACAGGCGACAATAAAGTCCTTTGCTTTTTCAGGTAACAGATCTTGAAAGGTAGCATCTTTTTCTAGTTTCAATGAAGCACGACGAGGTATTACCGCACATTGTACAGGCAGGAAAGAAGAGACCTAGAAAAAAAAAAGCTAGGGGCAAGAAAAACTTAAACGGCAACGAAGAGATTCTGTGAGCAGGGGGGAGAGGACATTAATTACCTGGGTGGAGACGAGGGCTTGAACGGTGACGGGGAAGTCCTTGAGGCGAGACAAAGCGTCGACGCACCTGGATTCGTCAGCACCGCCGCCGCCGGCGGCGGCGTCGGCTGCTTTCTTTGCTGCATGTAAAAGCTCCAGCAGCTGTTTCTCCTTCTCTTTCGCGCTCGCCATCGCTACTACTCCACGCCCAACTCAATCCCTGATAAAAAGAAGCGAAAGAGCAAGGAAAGAAGAAGGAAAAAAAATTCAGGTAGGTGAATAAAAAGGACAGAGTTGGTTGGTTCCGGCGAGTGAGTCCGTGCATGGAACGGAAACAGTAGTCCGAGTTAGAGACGGAAAATGAATGGCGGTGGTGCGGGGGGAGGAAAAACTCACAGAGACGGTGGCTGTTGTTGTCGGCGGCGGTGTGAAGAGCAAAGAGAAGAGAAAGGGAAGCGAAGCGAAGAGAAGGGTTTGTTTGTTTGGATAGTGAGAAGAAACGGAAACCGAAAAGAAGGAAAAACAGAGGAGAAAGATGAGAGATGCAGAGCACCACGTGTAACAGAGTCGGAGAAAGCGCACTTTGGAAAGGAGCTCTGTGTGTTTTTTTTTGTGGCATTCAACGCTTTACGCCATTTGTGAGTGAGAGTGACTTAATAACTTACCATCTCTCAATCGCGAGGATTATCCTCTTCTTCTTCTTCTTCTCCTTCTTCTCTCCGTGTGACTCTTCCTCGTTTGCCTATTTGCTATTGCTGGCTTGGCTTCCTCCTCCCCCAATATTTTCCTCTTTTTCTTCTCTTTTCTTTCTCCAAGCTCTTCCCTAATTTTTTTTTTACCCTTCTATTTTCCCCTCCTTTTTCTCCTCGTTCCATAGATAATTTTTCTTTTTCACAAAATGTTATGGTTGCTGGGAAGTTGGGATCTTGACTGATTCCAGTTTTAGGTAGGTAGTTAGTTAGTGCAGGGGGTTTGCTGTTGCTATTCAAACGGCCGTTTTAGTCCCTACTAGGCCACCACAAACAATCTCTAGGAACTTCCCAATTTGGGGTTTTTGATTTACTTCACCCATTTTTTTAGCTTATATTAGACTATCGGCATGGCATTCCATTAGGGTGAAAAGTAATCCCAATGGGTAATATATGTGTCTTTATAGGTGTGCTGCAAACAAGACTCCACAAAAGAGAAGCTTTCACCAATCATATTCGTGCCGAACAAATTTCTCATGAACTTTAATGTTTGTGAATATGTTTGTAAATGAAATTTATGTGTATGAACCAAACAGACAAGAATCTCGTAAATACAATACAGATTCATAGAATGAGACAATTTAAGATTTAAGGTAGGCTAATGATCATCACTTTTTTTTAATGGAAGAAACCAATAATGAGCCGTTCCCAATTTCTCGTAACTTCTCAATAATTCATGTCAAGCTCAGCAAATGACTCGCCTTTTGGCATTTAATGCCCATAACTTCTAAACAGGAAATTAAACATGTGGTATGTGTTCTAATATAAGAGAATGTACGAACGAGAAAAAAATAAAATAGTTCGTTAGTAACACAAACAAAAAAAGTAACATGTAATGAATATTGAACAAAGTATTTACCAAATATACCGTATGTTTGCTATTGGGTACAATGGCGACTATTTAAGTTTGCTATAAGAATTGACATTGCTTGTCAAAAAAGAAAGTAGGTTTCACAATTTATAGCTAGAACATACATCCTCACATTTCTCAACTAACATAGCATTCATACAAACAACCATGTCACTTCTGTAACGAAGAAGTTCATGGTTTATGATTTCAGCATGCAAAACCAACACAAAGTTTCGATCATCCTCATAACATTCATGCATTCCTAACCTCAATCTTTGAGCATTATGTTGAAGGCAATTATGGAGCACCACAACTATCCTCATTCTTTAAACACTATGTTGAAGGCAATTAGAAGATGTTGGGATGAACTTCTTTGCCTTGGCAGCTGGGACTAGATACTATGACAACACTCCTTGTGTTGTTATTGTAACAACACTAGTCTCCAACCAATAGGAAGTTAGGGTTGTGATGACTTTTTATTAGATGAGTTGACCTAGTGTAAAATCAAAACAGGGGTATAATTGTCATTATGAAAAATATGTTTAAATAAAAAATAATAAAAAAATAATATTTTTTAATTTCCGGCCCAAAATTTTGGTCGCCGGAATTCGGTCATCGGTCGCCGGAATCTGGTCGCCGGAATATGCTTTTTTGTCGCCGAAATATGCTATTTGTCATCGGAATATGCCACAGTCGCCGGAATATGCTCACCGTGGTCGGAATATGCTTACCGGCGTCGGAATCTAGTCATCGGAGCCGGAATATGCCTATCGGCTCCGGAATCTACTCACTGACGGTCATCGGAGTTTGGCCAACGGTCGACGATCACCAGATGTTATGGTTAGCATTGGGAGATTTATGGTTTGGTTTCTCATATTTTTTTATGCCTTTTGTGGTTTGCTTTATCGTGTTTCTGGTTTGCATTGAGAAGTTTCTGGTTTGCTTTCAAAAACTTTGTGGTTTGCATTGTGAGGTTTCTGGTTTGATTTAATATATTTGTGGTTTGCATTAGGACGTTTATGGTTTGCTTTTTTGTGGTTTGATTTACTGTGTTTGTGGTTTGCATTAGGAGGTTTCTGGTCTGCTTTCGCAAATGTTGTGGTTTGCTTTGTGAGGTTTGTGGTTTGTTTTAGGAGATTTGTGGTACGCATTAGGAGGTTTCTGGTTTGCATTAAGAAGTTTATGGTGTGCTTTCGAAAATTTTGTGATTTGTTTTGTGGGGTTTCTGGTTTGTTTTAATATATTTGTGGTCTGCATCAAGACGTTTCTGGTTTGCTTTACCGTGTTTGTGGTTTGCATTATGATGTTTCTGGTGTGCTTTCGGAATATTTGTGGTGTGCATTATGGAGTTTCTGGTATGTTTTAGGGGATTTTTGATTTGCATTATGAGGTTTCTGGTATGCGTTTTGTGGTTTGTTTTTATTGCTTTTATAATTTATATTAGGAGGTTTATGGTGCTGATAACTAACAAATAAATACAAAATTGTTACAAGGCTACAACCCCATTTGACACCAAACTACATATGACCACAAGTACACTCTATAATTAGCAATATTAAACAACACATCTCAATAGATATACCACAAATATCAACTTAAAACTTGAAAATAGCTTTCCCAGGATCAATGATTCTCTTCACTGTCCATTCAAATTGTCATTAGAAAAAACAAATTGAATTGGAGTACTAATGAAAGAAAGAAACGAGATGGAGAGAAAGAAAAGCAATTGAAGTATATATACTCTTAGTCCGCAGACAGCCTTGGAATGAATTTCCACAACTCGTCCGCAGGCCGCAGCTGGTACCACCATTGTTGCGAATCTCTAGGAATTCGAGAGATACGAGCTGCAGCGAGGCAACATAGGAGCCTCAATGAAGTCGTCTGCAGCCGGTGCCGCCATGGTTGCGGAGCCTTCTGCTGCTTCAGTTCACGTACCCTCTAGCAGCGGTAGAATCCGAATTTCCGACAGTTCCGTCACGGGAACAGGCGAACAGCCGGAATCCAATGGCGCGATATTCTTGGTGTTTTCAACATCAGAAGAGAGGGAACAGTGAGCAAGAGCGCTACCTCGCCGATGGGGTTCCACGCTACCTCCACCGGCTCTTCGATGACTCCGAGAACACCTTCATCGAGCTGTGGAATGGCGATGATCGGAAGCCGTGGGAGTCGCAGCACAAGGTGGGCGTCCACGAGCTGATGGATCTGAGGAAGTACACGTCGGCGGCCGACGACGGGAGGAGCCTGAGAAGGACATCAGTGGTGGGGATCGTCGGTGGAAGGCTCGTGTGGAGGCATTGATCGGCGCCGGAACAGAGAAGGAAAGAGAGGCGGAGACGGAGGAGAAACCCAGATCTGGGAATGGAAAATTGGGGCATCGGGAATTAGCGATGGAGAAGAAGATTTTAATGTTATTTTTTTTTATATCAAATTACCTTTTTGTCCTTAATGATTATTGTTGGTACCGTAACAACATACGAAATGTTGTTATACTATCTTTTCCCATGGCAGCTTGGCTATGACGCTTATGGTATATCATTAGTGATTCACGAGTGCTCTTCCTAGATCCGAGGTGTTTTGGGGGGAAAAAATCTGAAGACCCAAAATAAATAAGATTGCAGGAGTGGCAGATCCCAAAACTCTATCTTTTCCTCCAAAGGCAGCAGCCTCATGCAAAACAGGAGAAGTGTCAATCCTCGTCGTCGTTCCAGTTGAATATGAGCTCGGCTTCTTTAGAGACACGCTTATAATGCATCACCTCCATCATCAGTTTCATGACCTTCTTGGTGTCCAATTTGTAGTAAGTCGTGATGTGAATCGACTGAAGTATCGGGGCAGTGGCTAGTACGAACCTCAAGAGGTCCAGCTCAGCCTGACAACCACAAGTATCATCAATTCTGAACTCCATGAGATGCTTAAGGCAACCAGGGGAGTCCTCTGCTTCCAACAATCTCCTTATGCTGCTAACTTCATCATTAGCAGGCAAATCTGGTTCACCACTCTCCATCTACAAGAGCATTTTGTGTAGGAACCAAAGTCAGTCTAGATACCAAAAAGTAAGTTTATGCACCTCATGAGTCCTCCTGCAAATAGAAATTTTAGTCTGCAATATGCAACCAACCTGAACTGTGAGGCTATGCAAGTTGGGGGAACTCATGATTAAACACACGAAAACACGCTCCATCTCCAGACCATCAAAGACGATACTGATCGTCTTTAGGACTTTTAACCCCTCGATAGGGGTAGGAAGCCTGGTGGGGAAGTTCCTATCACCTTGAGCAAGGAACTTAGAGAAACCGGACAATATACATTACATAACTGATAATAGCATTAATGAGTAAAGCAACCCTATGATACAGAATGGAAAATAAGATGTGATAAGCTAGACCTTACTTTCAGGATGTCATAGTTAACAAGGAGCTGCTGGAGTGCTGGAAGGGAAGCAAATAAAGATACCATATCAGGCGTGTTGCTTTCAGCCAAATCAAGTGAGACATGTGACAGAAGTGGTGCATACTCGAAGCAGACATCCAGAAAAGAGCCCACAAAGGTGAAGTATTTAAGAAATGGAGCCACGATCTCGAGCCTACCGGCAGGGGCGCTACATTCTATCGCCCTCAAAGATTCCAACATCGGGCACTTGGGAAGGAACTCCTTGAAGAAATCAGAGGGTAAAATGACATTTATTAACTGAAGATTGGTAAGCATGCTGAAGCCAGTGAACCAAGTCGGCGGCGTAAACGCACAAGATCGAAGCGTCAAGGACTTCAAGTGAAGCGCAGAAAACAAGGAAGTATGCATCTGATAACCGGCGGTGCCAATGTAACGACAGTAGAACATAAGGGTAAAGTCCTGGACACCATTACTGGAAAGGTGAAGAATGATGTGGTCGATTTCACGGCAGGCGCATAATCCAGGGATCGAAAGCTCGAACTTGGTTATTGGGCCATCGTGAACAAGCAGGGCAGTGCAGATGTTCAGCATTATCCGGTTATTCATCGCGCTCGACTCACCGACATCCTCTTCTAGGTTTCGAGCAAACCCATGATCGAAAACTAGTCGAGGGATGCTTCTCCAGTGATGCCTCCATTTTCTCGACAATGTACTGGCTTTCGCTGCGTCTTTGATGGGTAAGAACGCCAGAATGTGATGTATCACATCGGCGGGAAGGCTGGTGATTCTGTCATCACTGGCCTCGCACACCCGCTTCATCCTGCAGATCAATACACAATATTTCAACCTCGCTATTTTGATAGCCATATCGCATTACACATATAGATACCGCATAACAAAGTAGGAAATCAATTCGATTGAAGAGAAAGCGGTGGATTACCTGGTTCAGGGTGAGCTACTTCGACTGAGACCTGAACGGGCCCAAACCAAAATCGAAACTCTGGAACACCAGAGAGGGCAAAAGAAAGGACCGAAGTTGCAAGAGAGAAGGGAGAGATGGGGAGTTGTACGGATATACAGTGCCCGGAGATGGTGAAATTGGCCAAGAACGGAAGAGAGAGCACGTGGGTGGTTCTGCAGGATGCTGGTTCGCCACACTAGGGCTTAGGAGTTGGGAGAGACGAGGAAGGGGATATTATCTGAAAACGGTAGGAGATTTGAAAGAGAGGAAGCTAGGGGTCGTTTGCTTCATGAATTTAGATAATGGATTTGGTACCCAAATCCATTTCATCATGGATTTAACGAAAATCCATCGTTTGCTTTCATTTCTTTTAGAGACCAAATCCGTGGGGCCCACAGATTTTAAGGGTTCAAATTCGTGGATCCCACATATTGATGTGGGATTTGTAACATGTCATAAATCCATGATGGGCTTTTACCCATATACCCTCATGAACTTTTAAAATTCCAACGTTGCCCTCACACTTAACTATTGTACATTATAAATAATCAATTAATTAACAACAAATAAATAATATAAATATTCAATTAATGTGAAAACATGAGTTAGATTTTTTATACCCTTTCTTGTGTTCTAGTTTCCTTTAACCTTTTCATTGAACGTGTAATTCTTTGTTTCCCGGTTCTAATATGTTGCTATATGTTACTTTTGAAAAGGTGGACAATGAATTGGTAACCGATATATGTTTCAGTAAAAATTAATTGGAATTTTTGTATTTATTATTATTGTCTTTGTGGCAACATTATGCTTATTAGTAAATATTGTCCTTATTTTGTGTCATATCATAAACATGACAAAAAAATAGAAAAGGATAGATGGTAATTTTGGACTTTGCGTTCTAAATCCCAAACCCTTAAATCCATGATAAAGCATCTCAACAAACAAAGGATTGTTACAAATTCCTAATGCCTCAAATTCTTGATAAATCCTTGAGTTTTTAAATTACAAAACTCTCATTTTGAAATCCATGAAGCAAACGACCCCTAAGTGTAAATGGCATTCGGATTTGGCGCTGAAAAGAAAATCAGGCCATGTATTTCCATAAATGCCCTCGTCTTAATTACCTCACTGATTTTTTTTTACATGTTACTCAAGGGTAGGGGTGGACATTGGCTAAGTTTAGTCTAATCTCTCAACCAAACTGTTAATTGTTGGTCAATAAATTTTAACTCTTCGGTGTCGTTTGGAGAATATGAGTTTAAATCTATAGATTGTCAACAATCTAAAGATTCTAACTCTTCGAATTGTTGAAAATAGATTTTAAAAAATGTTTATTGTTTGGTAATAGCGATTGTTAACATTCAATGAAAATAAAAATAAAATTTTTATATTAAATAACATGTTTATCCTTTATAAAAATTAGAGTATTCCAGAGATATATTACAAACTTTGTTAGTAAATATATTTAATATGATAAATAAATAAAAAGAAAGAGAAAAGGTAGGAGAAACAAAATCTCATGAATCAAGATATAGAATTTCTCTGATTATGAGAGATTTGATATCCATAGATTTTAGAGATTTGAAATCTCTAAAACTAAAATCCACAATACAAAATGCAACAAAACATAACTTTCTACAAAATCTACGGATTCAATGAATCCACGCCCTAAATCCCGTTCTCCAAACAACTCCTTCATGTAGGCAACACATGTCTTTCTCTAATGGAACATTCAAACTCTTGAAAGGAAAATATTGACTCTTGGCTCACTTCTCTGTTCATAGGTGAATATGGATAATTGATAATTCCATGAAGGTATGACATATTTATAATTCTTTGAGATATTAATTTCACGATTAAAATATACAAATTCTTATTAATATCATGACATATTCTATGCGCCTCAGATATAAAATGTTTTCAACCACATCGATGGCCCTTGTTGGTCTAAAAGTACCTTACGTGTCTGTACAAATCATAAGGAGGTCCAATCGAGCCATTAGTTCTCCAATGATCAAATAAGAAGAGATCCTTAAGAGAGATAAGCAATGCATATAGTTTTAGAGAGAGGCAGACGCCGGACAGCTTTAAATGTGGTACATTCACACTATTTACAGTTGATAGCCTTCCATTACAAAACCTTCCGTATTATCTTGCTCATTGCTAACGCCACATCGACTATTCGATACTCCCCATCGGTCATTTGGGGTTGGATCACGTATTGGGATCTACAAATTCTTGTTGATTAATGAAATTGGTTGGAATGAGATACGATGACAACCCCTTCTCATCCCAAATTGGAAAGCCGAGAGGCTCAGCAAATGACTAGGCTTTCAGCAAAAAAAGGGTAAAGCTCGTATTCCAGAAACAGTAAAGTGCGATTTGATATAAACTCAAGGGTCACATAAGAATAAGACCAGTATGCAATGGCGGCCTCAACAGACACTTTGTCAGACCCAAAAAAACACAGAACATTATTGCGTCCAACCCCTGGGGTTAATTCTCTCATCTCTAAAACCAACCTAACAAGAAGACCACAGAAAATTTTCCCCGAAAAATTCGAATCCAGCCGCCTTCTCACTTCCCTTCATCCAATTCCTTCTCGAAAAATGTCTTCCTAATCCAATTAAACGGCTGCACGGGAACAGAAAGCAAGATCAATACTTCAGAACTATATCGAATACTGCATGTTATTGAGAAGGTAATTATAAGCGTGGGAAGCTCTTCAAACAAAAACAAGAGGATATCAGAATAAGAGCACTAGTATCCGGGGAGAACAACCACGTTATGGATATCAGATGTCAATTCAAATCTTTAACTAGATATTTGAAGTAGCAAAACATTTCAACCGTAAGAAGGCTCGTTTGATAGAAGAAGTGAACTTTATGTGAAGGACAAACTGAATGAAAAAGAAAATTTTCTATCGGCACCTTGACAGTGAATGAGGAAATTTTTGTACCATGAACACTAGAATCAAAGATAACAGATTATAGCGAATACAAGCAATCAAAATCAAGTTTGCTTTGTAACTCAAACGCCAGCATTACGTATAACATTCAACTACTAGACTAGAAGCTACAAATTGACATTTGATAAGAGGGATATCCACTACGACACCGTGCTTCCTGTTTTCCCAAACTGTGTATATGGGTAATTGGTAGGGAACAAGATAGTGAAAGAGTTTCTATTTCTGGTTCATATCCTACTACAGCCCACAGCCATTGCAATTTTCATGACAAGTTAAGTAGGGCACCAGAGAACCCCCAACATTCAGATGTCTAATGTCACCATCTCCATCTTGTATATAGCATATACATGGTAGCACACAGAAAACAAACATCGGAAACATCTGGACTCGAGAAGGGCGTGTGCAATTGGGGGGGATGTTCAAAAACCAGATATTAACTCCAAAAGTTGACCAAAAATATGGATGAAGAAAGATTTAAAAAAAAAAAACAATTTGAAAGCAAAAACAGCAAAATGAACGGCCCTACAAGCAGGATGAGGATAATGTGTGCCATTCATCAATGGACAAAGAACAACGTCAACAGCCATTCAGAAGTGAATGCTTCGAATTTCCTAACCAACCAGCACTAGAGAGACCATCCACCATTACAGAGACCATTAGAGATTATCATGTCCAATACTACGAAACAAAAATGCAATTCTAACGTGATCCCATATCAATACAAAACAAAGCATCAAGGAATCCTCAAACTTCTTACAATAACCAGGGCCACAATCAGAAACATTAGCATATACAGCAACCCATCACGGGAACATCATTTGCAAGCAAAAATTATCATCTTTGCGATCCAATTGCAAAAAGTCAAGGGCAATCACGTGAGTAAATTCCGTGCATCTACAACAGCAGGTTGACAGGTTCCCACAGAAATCGGCAGAGGATGCAAAAGACAGGGGCTGATGATTGTCAAGGCGATGAGATCAACAGGTTCGATGTGAAATATGGGTAGAGGGCGGCAATCGTACCTGAGTGAGATAGATAGCGCCGGCGCCGGCTGCCGCGCCCCAAAAGGCCAAGGACTGGATCTCGGTGGCTTGGAGACGAACCTTCGGGCTCAAGAACTTCATCATCCCTCCACCAGTCATGTCGAGAGAACTTTTAAAAATTCTTTGATTTTGATCTTCGGGGGAACCCACTCGCCCAAACCCTAGTCAGAATCGAAAAAATAAAATGCTGGGAAATTGATTACGAAAGAGATGTTCAAATGTGCTAATATTCCCATTTGCAGCTCTCTTTTAATTTTATAATTTTAATTTCTCTACGGAGAATTGGGCCCCGTCCAGACTATCCGACAGAGAATTGGGCCCTTTATGGGCCTCGGTAGCTGCAACAAAATTGAGAAGAAAAAAATTAAAAACTTGAACAAAGAGCTCCCAGTGAGGATCGAACTCACGACCTTTCCCTTACGAAGGGAACGCACTACCACTATGCTATGGAAGCTATCTTGCTTATCTTATTCATCCAAACTTATATATACAAAAAATAAAAACCAATCGAATTTAGTTGGAAGTTATCTACCTCCGCTTTTCCCTCCACGTTCTGTTTAACAGTTTTCTGCTGCAGAATCTGCTCTCACGTCTCTGTTGTATCAAACTCCCATGATCTACGTTGATCACATCGTGTATAAAGATTCTACACAATCTCTTAATCCCATTTCTCCAAACTGTCACTTATGACTATACCAACAACTTCTGAGTTTGGCTTGGATATTCCCTTCTCCTATTTACTGAATCTGGTTTTCCCAATGTTTTCGTCTTTTCAGTTTCCTTGCTTCAACTTCCCATACTAAGCCTCAACTTACTTAGTCCATATATATAGAGAAAGCCTCCCCATTTCCCCCCACGAACTGAAAACACAATGGCACGCTTTGTGGTGGACTCCAACTCCCTCTTCTTCTACGGCACAGTAGATAGCACCATCGTCGTCCTCGACACCCGAAGCGACCTCAATCGGTTCCCTACGACCTTCCACGAGTGGAAGACCGTCGCCATAGTGACATGCCCGCTCAACAACAGAAGCAGCAGCAGCAGTAGTGCTGCTGCTGCTGCTGCTGCCAATCCTATAGGCAGAAAGCTGTACACAGAGCTGGAGATCTTCGGCAATGTGATCGAAGGTGCCAACTTGAGAAGGCTGCGTGCAGAGCTCTTCACCTCACAGTTGCTGGTCAATCGCGAGGGCTACCAAGTCGGATACTGCAACGACGACGCCTGCAAGGCTCTGGCGCTTGGCAGCAGCTTGATGCTGAAGATAAACAGCATGTTCGAGTGGTGGAGGTATGGAGTGAAGCCGGAGGTAGCCACCGCGTGGAAGCGGTATGATGTTCGTGAAGATGATGAGGATGTCGTTGATGTCGAGAAGTTGGCGATGGAATTGGAAGAGAAGAGCAAGGAACTGAAGGAGTGCGGGGCTAGGATGGCGGAGAAGGAGGAGATCGTGGACCATTATAAGCGGCTTTTGGAGGAAAGCAGAGAGGTGTTGAGACAGAAGAGTAAGGTTGTTGAGGAGAAGGAAAGAGTGATTGAAGAGCAGAGGAGGCTGATAGAGAAGAAAGATGGGGAGATTGAGGAGTTGGAAGTGAGATTGTGGGAGATGAGTTGAAGGGCAAGATGGGTTATTGAAGAGGCAGAGGAGCAGTTAGTTGATATCTAGATAGTATGGTGTACTATAAAATTCAACATGAACAATCAAATCTTGCAACATTCAAGGAAATGAAAAGATCTCTTAAGAAAAAGAATCAAATTATAAGGCAACCTCATTATCAAGCCAATATTTTCTTGATTGTTTTAAGTCACCCTCTCCCTCTAACCTAGGTAGATGAACAACAACAATCACTTCAAGAACACTTAATAAACTTATACAAGGATCCGCTGACTAAGGTCGCTTCCCAAAAAAGGACCTTCTCTTGTGACTACAAGACCAATGGCATCTTTGCTAAAGCCGTCACCAGAAACCCTATAATCCGAAGCTATAAAATCACAAAATCAGGGCAATCATGTTATTCTGTAACCAAATACAGCTTTAATGCCTTACAATGAAGAGGAAAGCTTGTTGGAGTTCTTAGCTCTCGCATCTTCCTTTGATGTGGGTCGTCGTCCCTTGTCAGGACCGCCAATGATGCCCCAGGCGTCAAACTGCCTTTGTCGTGCTCGAGCCCTCTCTTTCTCTTCTTCAGATTTCGATGAGTAACAGTGAGGACAAGTAACTCCACGTTCCCACTCTGGTGTTTCCATGTCTGCATCACTCACTGGTTGCTTACATCCATAACAGAGCTTAAAAGTCCCCTGTGCCAAACCGTGCTCAACAGATACTCGCTTGTCAAAGACAAAACATTCGCCCTCCCACAGGCTCTCTGGTTCTGGAACCTCCTCGAGGTACTTCAAGATTCCTCCTTCCAGATGATAAACCTATCAGTGACCAAGTTGTCTATTATGGTTCATTCAATATTTTTGTTCACACATTATCAGAAGCAAATACAAGACGGAGCCTAATTTCAAAGGGTAGTGTTATGCGCACAAATGTAACTAGACAAAACAGGAAGGCTAAATGCATTAGTGATGGCCTATGATGACATGGTCCTTCTAAGCCTAATAACGTATAAGAGGTAATTACGATCAGAAGATCAGTACAAAGCAGATATGGTTCAGCACAGAAAAATTACCTCTTCAAAGCCTTTCTGGAGGAGAAAGCTTGAAGCTTTCTCACACCGAATGCCACCTGTACAGTACATAGCAACCCGTGGAGGCTTTTTCCTTTCGGGCCACTCGGTTTTCAACTCAGGACTGCCACCTGATTGCTGCTTCAAGCTTTCTGCTTTGGGAAGTTCAAACTGATCATCCACCCAAGAAGGGAAGTTCCGAAATGCTGTGGTACAGGGATCAACAGCTCCTTTGAATTTCCCTATTCTTGTTTCATAGTTGTTTCTCACATCAATCACTACCTAGGCATACAAATGACAATTTTCAGTCCACTTTTCTGCAAATCCAATATGGATTACCCAAGAAAAACTTTGTTGTCAAACTTCTCCACGAAGTGTACGACAGCAGAGTATCCAACTTTGGAAAGTCAAATGAAAGCAACCCACTCACTGTATCTGGATCGCTAATCAATGCATTCCATTCCATTGGCTTCACGTACTTCCCAACCCTTTCAATGGGTGATACAGCTGGCATTCCAAGAGAAACAATCTGTCTAGGCACAAGTCGATCATGCCCGGGTTAAGTTTGCAAAATCAGGATTCAGCATAGCTATTGAACGACTTTGTTTCGAGTCCAGAGTTGCAATTACCTCTTTCTTCAGCTTCACCCTGACATGATCCCATCGAAAAGGTGTATCTTCCCCTGCAGAAAGAGGAGAGCTGCTGCTGTGACCGTGATGGATAGCCTCCTCCTCTGGACTAACAGGTGACTCTATCTTCCTAAGTCCCTTTAGCCGGGAATCACTCTCGATAAATGCAAGAACTTTCCCAACGGAATCTCTAGTCCCACATATGCTCCCATTGATTCCTTCCGGTGCAAGAATGACACCACCCGAAACCCGCTGAAAAGGATCAACTTGACAAGGTGAGAACACCCCCATCAATTGACTTTTAATATCGGCAGCTAAATGCATATAGTTCAAGCAACGACTCAAATGCCAGAGTGAGCACACATGGAAACAAATGCTAACTCAACTCCAATTCAGCACTCATCCAGAAACTCCGAATCAAATCATGAGCGAATCAAAAGAGGGAAAGGGGCAGAGAGGGTACCAGTTCCTCACAGAGCTCCTTCAATGGCTTCCGCAAATTGGCGTGGTCAGGGAAATCCGCAAAGCGATAGAAAGACACGACCATGAGAGTGGAATGTGGGTTTGGCAGGTAGTCGGATGCGGTGGAAATGGGAACCGGGTCAGAAGCGGCGGAACCGGTGCTGCAGTTTGAGACCGTCATGGCTTGTGATTGAGACCTGTAACTACAGCAGTAACTGTTAGGGCGACGACAGTGGAGAGGAGAAATCGAGGCTGGAATACAGCTCGAGGGGTTCAATCGGAGCAGAAAATTGGGATTAGGGTGTAGAGAGGGGCTGGATGACGGAATCATCCTGAGAAAGTAGCCACCGGGCAGTGGCGGCCGGCACCTGAACAATAGTACACTACCGCTTGTCGGCGGCATGCGAATTAATTATCACTGGATTAGGGCCCGGACCATTTGCCGGAGAATTTTATCCTATGTATGCTTTAGACGGTGGTTTCATAGAGTAGCACTTAAAGCCTTGTTGTTTCGGAACTTTTTTTACAAAATATAATCATATATTGATTCAATAAAAAGATAGTTACATTCAAAAATTCAGTCAGGTCCAAAAATCGAAGAAAAGATTCATAGTCGGGTACAATGATAGGGTCTTTCTAGCCATCGTATGGGCTACCCTACTACTACGCCGACTTACAAATCGAACACTAAAACCGAGATGGATGGCAAAATACTGCATGATTTCTTCCAGAATAGCACCCATCCGGTTATCTCTAGTGTCAGCCTGATTGATTTTGTCGATGATCACCTTGGCATCGCCTTCAAATCTTATGTTTGTGAAGCCGTGCTCCAGACACCATAATATAGCCTCTCGGAGGACAAGCAATTCCACAACCATAGGGTCATCAATTTAATGAAGTAGAACCCCCTTAGCCATCAGAATATCCCTAGTCGGGGTCATAAGAACCATCCCACCTGCCGAGTGCGACCCACTCCTAGTTGCCCCATCCCACATACAAACAACCCTGGTAACCTCCACAAGACCCACTTGTCGTATCACAGGGAGAACAACCTGAGGAGCTCCATCCACTGGTAGATGTACACACTCCTCATATTGCTAATGAAACTGGCGCATCAAAGCAGGGAACCCAAACCGGCCACACGGTTTACCTTCAAAGACAACCAAGTTACGAGGCAACCCCTCCCCCAGATACTCCAGGCCCGAATAGTCCCAAATTAAGGGCACGTGCCACCGGACAATAGAAAAATAAATGTTCCATCGTTTCAGAACTATTCCAGCAAAGCGGGCATCGGGGAAGCATAGAGACTCGTTTATCAATAAGGGCTTCAGTAGTTGGCAAGATTCGATTGAGAATCTGCCAGACAAATACTTTCAGCTTGGGGGAATATTAGCTTCCCACAAAAGAATCCAGTTGAACTTATCCATCCAGCTAACTTAGACCTCCAACGACCCCTCCTCTTATCAATTGAGACAACTAAATGGTAGGCAGACTTGACAGAGAAAACCCATCAGGTGTGTCATGCCAGATTAGTCTATCCTCCACATTCTAACGCGGAAGAGGAATAGTTTTGATGGCACGACAGGTATGCGGGTCAAACCATTGGCTAAGTTTGAGGTCTCTCCAACGCCCCTCCCCCTGGCAAATGACCTCTGCAACTGGCGGGTCCCCCCCTTCCTGTAAGACCTGGGGATTATACCTGGGGGGTCAAGCTGGAGCAGAGGGATCCAGTTGGAATGAAGCAATGAAGCAGCTTGACCATTTCCAATTTGCCACCTTAATCCCATCTCCAATAACTGTCTACCAAACAGGACACTCTGCCAGCCCCATGAAGGGTGAGAGCGAGCCGTAGCTTTAAGGAAGGTCCCAGTTGGGAAATACTTTCCTTTGTAGACCTGTGCAATAAGAGACTGGGGCTCAGTAAGGATACGACATCCAATTTTGGCTAAAAGAGCCTGATTAAACTGCTCGAATTGGCGGAATCTCGTCCCCTATCATGTTTACTTCTGCACATATTGTGCCAGTACATCCACCGAATCCGTAAATGGCCCTCAGCATCACCCCACCAGAACCGGGCCACATATTTATCCAAAAGACAACACAGAGAGACAGATAGCTTGAAACAGGACATCACATGCAGCGCTAGCGCCAGTGCCAAAACAATTGATTTAATCGAAGTTTCTTTAGCCGCCCAAGATAAAGTCCTCTGCTTCCACCCCTGGAGTCGCTCTAATAGCTTCTCCTCCAAATACCGGAAAGTAGCCATTTTAGACCGAGCAATCAGCGTAGGTAAACCCATATACTTATCATGGACCCCCACCGTCCCGACTCCCAAAATCGCTGCTAAGAACTCTTGGTCCGCCCGAACAATATTTTACTAAAGCAAACTGCCGATTTTGCCAAATTCACCCGGTGGCCACTTAGTTCCTCATATTTGTTCATGACCTCAATCAAATTCTTACACTCTTGGAGAATGCCTCTCAGGAATAGGGATGGCAATGGGTTGGGTCGGGTTTTGCCAAACCCAAACCCAAACCCAAACCCATGGGTTTATCCGTGAAAAAAACCCGGGGTAAAATCCACTGGGTTTGAAAAACTCAAACTCAACCCAACCTGCTGGGTATCCGTGGGTTCATGGGTACCCAAGGGTTTCTGTCGTAAAAAATTTACAATAACAAGTTCCTATCAAAATTATAGTCAAATCTCAATCTCTCAATACAAATTATCCATATATAAAACACTATTTTAGAAAATTTAAGCAAATCACAAATTAGCTATACAAATTGTTCAACACCAATCTAGAAAACTCAAGAAAATTGAAGCAAATCACAAATTATCCATAAATAACATGATTAATTGAAAGCTTCTTCCTTTCAATTAAGTTTCTTCACTCTCCACTCGATAACATCAACTTCATTATACACAATTAGAAAGAAAAAATTAGACATTTCTCCACAAACATAAATAAGATTAGTTGTTTAGAATATTAAATATATCGAAAAAATTAATTATATGGGTGTGGGCGGGTACCCATGGGGCGGGTTTACCTAAACCCAAACCCAACCCAACCCGGTGAATAGTGAACGAGTTTAAACCCAAAACCCGTCAACACGGATTTTACCCGCGTTGACCGGGTTGGGTCGGGTGGGTACCCGTGGGTTCGGGTTTTGTTGCCATCCCTACTCAGGAATAAATATGAATTATCGACAAAAATTAAGTGCGAGATCCGGGGGGCATGAGCAGCCACCTTTACTCCCTCCAGCATGTTTTCCGAAATAGCCTTACGAAGGAGTGACACAAAGCCTTATGTGCAAAGCACAGATAAGAGAGAGGGGAGAGGGGATCCCCTTGTCGTAACCCCATGGAAGGAGTGAAGTATCCCGAGGGAGTACCATTCATTAGGACAGAAAATGACGATGACCTGAGACATTCATGAATTCATCCTTGCCAGACGGAGTTAAAACCCATCTTGTCCAAAACCGCAAGAAGAAAAGCCATTCGACTCTATCATAGGCCTTATCCATGTCAACCTTTAGAGCCATGTACCTTTTTATCCTCGGGTTTTGATTTTCAAGTAATGCATTAACTCATGCCGAAGGAGGATATTCTCAACAATTTGATGTTCGCGGATAAACGCATTCTGCCCCTCCGAGATGATTTGTGGCAAGAGGCAGGCAAGCCTTTCTGCCATGATCTTTGTTATAATTTTATAAACAAACTCACATAAGCTGGTTGGAAGCAATTGCCACATAGTCTCCACATTATCTACCTTGGGAATCAACGTGATCCAAGTATGATTGAAACTACGGAGCATTCTACTCGTAGCAAAGAACGAACACACCGCTTCAATTACCGAATTGCCCACAATATCCTAGAAGGCCTTAAAAAACTTTCCGGTGAATCCGCCCGAACCAGGAGCCTACTTCGACCCCATAGCGAACACCATTTTACGAACTTTGCTGGGGAGAACTTCGGCCGTTAGGCTGACATTCATATCAAGAGTAACACTCTAAGCGATAGGCAAAGCAGCCACCCGATCATCCATGTTAGCTACCTGATTCTCCGTGGTGAAGAGATGTTGATAAAAGGATGTCGCAATACCAGCTTTACCATTCTCATCAGTGATCCACTCCCCATTATCATTACAAAGGCTGTCCACAAAGTTCCTTTTACGACGAGTCCTAGTCACCGTATGGAAGTAAGACATATTTTTATCTCCTTTCTTCAACCAGTACACCCTAGACTTTTGTTGCCAATAGATTTCCTCAGCCTCCCATTGCCGGTTCAACTCCATTTCCAGACCTCAGACCTCATCCCATTATATAGGATGGGTTAATTTTATCCTTTCAATTTCGCTCTTGAGAGTTTTAATATTTAGCAAGGAGTTGGTGGTACCTGCCCTACTCCAATCATACAACAAATGACGGAGTCTCTTAAGGCGTTCCCAAAGACGAAACATAGGAGTACCCTGGATGTCCTTCTGCCAGACATAGTTAACCATAGCTTTGACCTCAGGATTAGAGTTAGCTTATTTTGATTTTGTAGAGTGAATTATTAGTGGGTTGGGGAGGGATTGTGGGTTGGGGTTCTTTCTAACTATTGTCTTGACATTACTCGGGAAAAAAAAAATACTTTAGACGATGGATTAAATATTAGTCGAATTTATTTGTTTAGCGGTGTCCAAATGTTGGGGCCTAGTCCTAAGAGGTGATTTAGGAGGTGAAAAAATCGAATGAAAATTAGAAAACAATTGGAATTTTTTTCTCTACTAGTTTTTCTCCGATTTATTGGTCGGATGAATTCATCTTATTTATCATTACTTCATGATAAATAAATCATTCATATTTTCAAATGATTTGGAACATTCTCAATAGTTTATTAAAGAATCGAAAGTAATCTTTGTACTACTTGATATTTATGACATTGATAATAATTAGTTCATATATATCATTGATGATCGGGTTATCTAAGTTACTAATGTCTATCTATTTCATATTAAACAAATTTGCATGACTTATTGTTAGCAAAAATTGCTTCAAAGTATTTCTTCATACCTGTATTATAAACTTGTTTCTCTATTAAATCCAAGGTGCACTAGGAAAATTATGTATTAAAATAGTAATTACAAACTTCAAACGATTAGCCTATTGCTAATATGGAAGCATAAAATCCACCATCTAATGGGTTCAAACTTTATGGCCAGCAATCATCTAAAAGGATAATAGTTAAAACACATAAATTATTAAATGCTAATTCATTAGTAACTAGTATATATCTATAAAAAAAATATTGGAGTTGTTAATAGCTTACATTAACTTATGTTGATAGTTTAAGGGTGTTATAATTGTCTGATCTCAATTCTAAATATTTTTAGAAGTTTGATTAAACAAAGCATGGCTCAAATATACATCACTCATTGAGAAAATTGAATTTATAAAAAAAGTTCATGATTTCAGGAAAAAAAAATCTGTGTGAATTTGAAAGTAAACATATAAGACATTCAGATAATAGAGTTCAGTGTTGCATTTGATATAAATTCAACGCCTATGAGATTTGACTCCCGCATTTGAAGATCCTAAAAAAATATTAAATATTTTTTTGTACCAAATTTATTGGCACCAAGAATTTCGAAAGCTTCGCATTAACAAATTACATTTGATGAATCTGACACCATCTTCTAACACATCTAACTTAAAAAATTATATCACCAATATTTTTCTTTATGAGACTATAATTATTAATCTAATTTATAATAGGAAACTTCAATTGATATACTTTCTTTTTATGGGTAGGGAAAAGAAGAAAAGTGATATTGAATGGAGAAAAGGAGTTGTTAATTGACCTATTGACATATTAAAAAAAAAAATAATAATAATAATAATAATAATATCAGCATATCCAAAATCTTGATATTTATGACACATGTAACCATTATTTATAGTGAGAATATAGTCATCTTTACTACTTTTGTCGGACAAATTCTTTATTTTTTTGGGTAGAAAACAGACGCCAATGGCGTCTAACTCATATTAGGAATATCACAATCCATGGTTGTCTCCATGGTATCGTAGGACAACCAATACAAAAGGTTCGGGTCGCACTCATCTAATAGATGGGTGCCAAAAGGAAACAAATGACCCCTATTAGCAAAAAAATCGGCTGCACAATTGCTTTCTGTATAGACATGTGAGATCCTAACATCCCACTCTCTATCCAAAATGCTATCAATATGCTTGACTAACAAGCCATAAATATGGTTGGTATCCTTCCTATTTTTGATGAGAGCCACTGCACTAGAGGAGTCCAGGTTCAGTTCAACCTTCCTGCATCCCTTATGCCAGGCAAGCTCGAGACCTTCAGCCGCTCCCTTAAGTTCAGCAGGGGTAATTGAGCAGACTCCCATATTGCTGGTGAAGGCTCCTTGACACCTTCCAAGGTGGTCACGCAGCAGGCCTCCTGCCGCAACCTTTCTTGTGGAGGTATCCACTGAGCCATCAGTCTGTACTTGGATCCATCCTTCACGCGGAGGCAGACAACCGATATGCTGAGTGTTGCGGTCTCTTTGTGTTGATAGAGTGCTCCACTTGTCATTTTCATTATCCTGGTTGTTAATTCGAAACCAAGTTTGGATCCTGTGAATAGTTATGATCTCAGAAAAGAGCTTCCCTTCCATGACAACCTCATTTCTTTCTTCCCACAGCAACCAGCATATAAGTCCAAACTCTGTTCCAGTCATCTCAGCTTGTAGATTCCTTGAAAGCCAGCATTGGAAATCAGCATTCATACCCTTTTCTTTGAGCATGTTGCTGAAGTGATTCCAGATGCCTGCTGTCTTCGTACACTTGCGGAGTATGTGTTCAACGGTCTCCTCAACCCCACTGCAATAATCACAATTCCTGTTATCTGAGATTTTACGTCTTTCTCTTTCCTTGTTGGTGAGCAGCCTGTTGTAAGATGTGAGCCACAGGAAGAACTTGACTCGACTGGGACCTTTCCATTTCCACATTTACTTCCAATCCTTCTCCCCGTCCCTTTCATTGTTCCATGCAACATGATCATAAGCCGAATTCAATCGGAATCGGCCATCCCTCTCTTCTCCCCAAAGTGTTGTCTCCTCCCCGAGTCCTGGTTTTGGGTTGTCCCTTCCTGTAATATGCAGCAGAATTTCATCAGACAAGTATAACTTAAGTTTACTCCAGTCCCACTCACCTGAATCATCAGTCCAGTCCACAACAGAGGTGAGTCGTTCTGAGTCAGTTAGGGTTCTTGTGGAGAACTCTTCAAGGATCAGTCCTTTCTCCAACCATGGCTGAGTCCAGAACCCTGTAGTTTCTCCATCTCTCACACTCCAGATCGTTGCTTGCTTCATCAGGGCCATAGCTTTCACAATGGATTTCCAGAGGTTGGATTGATTGCTCTTTTTCATTGCTGCAATCTTCCCTTCTTTGTGGTAAAAGTACTTCCCTTGTAGAACCTGTACCCAGAGATCATTTTCGTTATTCAAAATCTGCCAATCTAGCTTAATCATGTAGGCCATGTTTAAACTTCTAGCAGACCTAAGGTCGAGACCTACTTGATTTTAAGGTTTACAAATAGACTCCCAATTCACCAGGTGGACTTTTCTTCTTCCTGAGAAGCTTCCCCAAACAAAACCTCTAATCCTACAGTCAATCACATCACAAACTTATGCTGGCAAAACAGAGGTCTGCATAGAATAGGAGGGGATGAAGTTCAGAACAGAAACTGCAAGGGTGAGAGTTCTAGCTTTCCAATGCGAGAGTTTTTGGTCAATTTTGTCCAGGATATGCCGGTAGGTATTATGATTTAATATGCCATGAAGGACATGCACACCTAGGTACCTACCAAGATCACAAGTAGCCTGTATACCTAGCCTACTACAGATATTACTCCGTTCCACCTCCCTAGTATTCTTAGAGAAAAAGACTCTCGATTTCTCCTTACTAAACATTTCTCCTAAGGCATCACAGAACTCATTCATGCAATTGAGAATGACATAAGCTTGTAAGGTACTAGCTTCAGAGAATAACACAAGGTCATCGACAAAAAATAAGTGAGAAAGATCAGGACCCCCCTAGACAGTCTAATAGGTTTCCATCTTTTTTCATTCACTTTCCTAATGATACTATGACTAAGCCTTTCAATACAAAGAGTAAAGAGATAGGGTGAGAGAGGACATCCTTGTCTTAACCCTTTGTTAGGCTTGAAGGACTCCGTTTCACCACCATTCCACAGCACTTGCAGTTTTGTTGAGCCAACACACTGCATAATGGTCTGAATGAAAGCTTCAGGAAATCCAGCAAATCTTATAGGGTCTTCCAGGAATATCCCGTCTATTCTATCGTATGCTTTAGCTAAGTCGAATTTGAGGAGCATGATCCCTTTCGTCCCTGTCTTCTTAGCCGTGGAGTGAACCGTCTCCTGCAAAACCAAGATATTATCAGTAATGTGTCTGTTGGGGACAAAACTGGACTGGTTGGCATGAATAAGGTGGGGCATAAGATTTTTAAGCCTATTTGCTAGAATATTCGCCACCACTTTATACCCAACATTACATAAACTAATGGGACGAAAATGGTTCATTGAAGTGGGAGCTTCAATCTTAAGGATAAGAGTCAGTAGGGAGAAAGCATAATCGAAAGCAACTAGAACTGCCTACCACAGGGGAAGGGATCAAGACCAGCCAGAAGAATGAAGGGAGTGCAGGGTCAAGATTTACAGTGCTGGAAAAAGAGCATGAAGAGCCAGACACATCTCCTGAAAATACTAACCAAAGCGAACAAGCACGAGGAGAGATGGAAAACAAAGAAAAAGCGCCCAAAGAAGATAAACAACAGAAATAAAGGACCCTGAAAGTGCTCAATCGAAAAAGAAAGAAAGTGAAAAAAAAAAAAAACAAGAAGACAAGAAGAAAGCTGCAACCGGTGGGAGTTTGACCAAGAAGATGAACCAGAAAACCTCGCATGTCGTCCCTAGTAATGGGAAGAAGACAACTACCATACTAGCGAAATCCCCTGCTAGCATCTCTGTTAAAAGGCGAGCTCAGGTGGGACAGGGACTGCTCTGCCACAAATAACAAATAATAAAACCAGAGGGAAGGAGCTCCAAGCCGCTGCCTCAACAGGGTACCAGCCTAAAATGAAATCACCAGGGGAGGCTGATAGGAGCAGGGAAGGCCACAAACAAAGCAAGAAAGCTGCAGGGGTGGAGAACAGCCTCCAAAGAACGATTGACTTTGGTGCCACACTCAATACAAAGTCGATCAAGCCTGAAAATGCTAATAAGGCCCAGGTATCCAGTAACAACACTGAACCTAGGTCTAAAGAGATGGCAATGGCCATCGACCAGTATTGATTTCCTCCTTTTGAGGTTGAACAGGTTGACTTTCATACTTCCCTATGATTAAAGTCTTTGCCTGGAATTGTAGGGGTGCGAAACACCCAAAGTTTCATTAGACTATGGAGTACTGTAAGAGTATTCATTCACCTAACGTGGTGTGCATTACTGAACCTAGAATAAGTGGAAAGGATGCCATAGTTGTTATCAAATCTCTTGGCTTTGATTCGTGGGAAGTGTCTGATGCGGTTGGATATAGTGGAGGGATATGGGTTTTGTGGGATAGCAAGCAGCTGCAAATGGAGAGGGTTGATCTGCATAAGCAAAACCTTCACCTCAGATGCTCGATGGATGGGAAGGATGTTGGCCTCATTACTGTTGTCTACGCTAGCCCTAACGAATTTGAAAAGAGTGAGTTGTGGAGGCAACTCAGAAGAATTGAACGAGGGGTCAAGGAACCATGGCTTTTGACAGGGGACTTCAACTCGATTACAAGACCAGTTGATAAACAAGGTGGAGATCCATTTAGATTTGCCAAAGCTAGAGCCTTCAATGAGTTAATTGATGAATGTCACCTGCTGGACCTCGGGTTTAAGGAACCCCAGTTCACTTGGTTCACGAAGAAGTCGAAGATCAAAGAAAGACTCGATAGGAGTCTGTGCAACCAGAGATGGAACTAACAGTTCCCTCAGTCCACAGTCTTCCATTTGACGAAACTGAAGTCTGACCACAGACCAATTCTGAACTGCAACACCACCATTTCATAGAAGAACAAATTGGTGAGACGTTTTCATTTCCTTGCCCCATGGCTGGCTCATGAAGAGTTCTTTCCTTTTGTTTCCTCTGTTTGGCGTAAGGATAATGCTTTTCCCTCTGTCTTGTAGGACCTTTCAAATCTCTTGGCTTTGATTCGTGGGAACTGGGAAGTGTCTGATGCGGTTGGATATAGTGGAGGGATATGGGTTTTTTGGGATAGCAAGCAGCTACAAATGGAGAGGGTTGATCTGCATAAGCAGTTCCTTCACCTCAGATGCTCGATGGATGGGAAGGATATTGGCCTTATTACTGCTGTCTACGCTAGCCCTAACGAATTTGAAAAGAGTGAGTTGTGGAGGCAACTCAGAAGAATTGAACGAGGGGTCAAGGAACCATGGCTTTTGACTGGGGACTTCAACTCGATTACAAGAACAGTTGATAAACAAGGTGGAGCTCCATTTAGCTTTTCCAAAGCTAGAGCCTTCAACGAGTTTATTGATGAATGTCACCTGCTGGACCTCGGGTTTAAGGGACCCCAGTTCACTTGGTTCGCGAAGAAGTCGAAGATCAAAGAGAGACTCGATAGGAGCCTGTGCAACCAGAGATGGAACCAACAGTTCCCTCAGTCCACAGTCTTCCATTTGACGAAACTCAAGTCTGACCACAAACCAATTCTGAACTGCAACACCACCATTTCAGAGAAGAACAAATTGGTGAGACATTTTCATTTCCTTGCCCCATGGCTGGCTCATGAAGAGTTCTTTCCTTTTGTTTCCTCTGTTTGGCGTAAGGATAATGCTTTTCCCTCTGTCTTGCAGGACCTTTCAACGAATTTGAAAGAATGGAATAAGACTGTCTTTGGTAATATCGTCCAAAGGAAGAAGAAGCTTACCAACAAGCTCCAAAGACTGGAGATCCTGAATGAACAAGCTGCAAACAGAAATTCTCTTGCCTTGGAGCAGACTATGAGGGAGCAGCTTGAAAACACCCTGTGGCAGGATGAATTACTTTGGGTTCAAATGTCACGAGCTAATTGGATTCTCCATGGCGATAGGAACACAAGATTCTTCTACCAGAGCACCATGAGTAGAAGAAAGAGGAACAAGATCCTTGCTTTGATGGATGATGAGGGGAACTGGGTTACAAACCCAGAAGACCTTCAAGCAATGGTCAGAGACCACTTCATCAAACTCTACACGAGAGCTGAAAGACAGGAGTCACCAGAGATTGCTGCTGACTTTCCCCCCTTTGACCCTCACAATGCTGACAACTTATGCAAGATTCCTACCATGG